CTAATCAGAACACATACATAGCGCTCTTACAGTGACGTCTGGACAATGCAATCAGTGCACAAACTCAGCATAACAAAAATAAAAGCTCGAAAAATCAGTGCACAGACTCGGGGCCCTTACTATGCCAATCAGTACACAAGAATATGGACCAACCAGTACATATACTAGAGTCCTCATACCTGACAATAGACCAATCAGTACACAAGACTGTGTGTCCTTCAAAAAAAAAACTGTACCAATAAGTGAACATGAAGATTATCGAAAAAGTTATGATACTTAATATGAGCCACATAAAATATACAGCATTTCGGTTTTTATGTGTTACAGAAAGATTTCTAAGTTATAGGCAGATTTTTATGTTACAGGCAGATTTCTATGTTTCAGGCATATTTTTATGTAACAGGCAGATTTCTATGTTCCAGGCAGATTTCTATGCAGATTTCTATGTTACAGGCAGATTTCTATGTTACAGGCAGATTTTTATGTTACAGGCATTGCAGGCAGATTTCTATGTTACAGGCAGATTTTTATATTATAGGCAGATTTTTATGTTACAGGCAGATTTCTATGGGAAAACTAAAGAAGATTGTGATTCAACATTCCATGCTAATATGAAAAATGCCTGTAACAATCTGAACAAAAGATTTATACTACCAGCCCATACCGGGTGTAATGCGGCTGCATATACGTATTTTGAAGCTGTCAGTGGATTTGCCGGTTTTGCTTTTGAAAAGCCATCACCTGCTTGGTGTTCAGAAGCTTGGACGAGAAATTGCATGTTTCTTAGTTAAAATAAATACATATAAAAGAATGTATTACACCTTTTTCAATAGTTTCTATAATAAAAGTAATTCTGTCTAGCGTCTGTTTATTTGTGAGTATAATTAAAGATTTCGAAGTTATATACACTGTTTATAACGTTGCTGTATGAAATCTTCTTAACTAACTGACATTGGACTCCATGATTTCATGTCATCATAATAAGCAATTTGAGTTTGCTATTAGTTACTGCGACGATTCTTTCATAAGGTATTTCAAACTAAAAGAAAAATTGAAAGAGTTGGTATTACTTTGTTTCATTAAAAAGAATGGCGAACGTAGATACAAGTATCTTGTCTTGGGGAGGGATAAATCCTACCTTGCAAAGAATCACTCTGATTCAAACAAAAAGTTCTCTGAAACTGACATTATCAAGATGCTTGATTTCTTGATTGACAACATATTTGTTATGTTTGGAGGACGTGTTTTTCGACAGAATGTCGGAATTCCAATGGGAACCAATTGTGCCCCTCTTCTTGTCGACTTGTTTCTTTATTATTACGAGGCTGACTTCATACAGGAACTTCTTAGGAAGAAAGATAAGAAGTTAGCAATAACCTTTAACTTTACGTTCCGCTATATAGATGATGTTCTCTCACCAAATAATACAAAATTTGGTGACTATGTTGAACGAATCTATCCCATCGAACTAGAGATAAAGGATACTACAGATACAGTTAAGTCTGCCTCATATCTTGACTTACATCTAGAAATTGACAATGAGGGTCGGTTGAAAACAAAACTTTACGACAAAAGAGATGATTTCAGCTTCCCAATTGTGAACTTTCCATTTCTATGTAGCAACATTCCAGCAGCGCCTGCATACGGAGTATATATCTCCCAATTGATACGATATTCCCGGGCTTGTATTTCCTATCATGATTTCCTTGATAGAGGATTGCTGCTCACAAGGAAGCTATTAAACCAAGAGTTCCAAATGGTGAAGTTGAAAACATCCCTTTCGTTAATTTTACGGACGCCATCACGAGTTGGTTGACCGTTATGGAATAACCGTTTCACAGATGATATCGGATATGTTCCTTATGTCGCAACTACAATACCCTTCCCTTTTCACGAATGTGACCTACCGAATTAGACTATTTACCGGATTTGTAATAACATAAGCAACACAACGGGTGCCACATGTGGAGCAGGATCTGCTTACCCTTCTGGAGCACCTGAGATCATCCCCAGTTTGTGGTGGGGTTCGTGTTGCTTAGTCTTTAGTTTTCTATGTTGTGTCATCTGTACTATTATTTGTCTGTTTGTCTTTTTATTTTTGGCCATGGCGTTGTCAGTTTGTTTTCGATCTGTGAGTTTGACTGTCCCTCTGGTATCTTTCGTCCCTCTTGTATGATATTGTTCATTTCCTGTACTGTTTTTTTTTATTATGAATGAATGGAGATATATAGATTCCAGCACTGCATCAAGTGTGTTACGATATTTTTCCACTCAGTCGAGACCGTTAAATTTTAATATTTAAAGCGCGAGGCTTGCCGAGCTTTTTAAATAATTAAAATTAACTTTTGAGGGTGGAGAAATATCGGAATACACGAGTTATAGTGGTAGAGTCTGTTTCAATGATTTTAGACGATATATAAACAAAGTTTATCCTTTCTTTTCAAAGATTCGCAGAAAGTTGTGTTCTTTATATGTGACGTCATCATACATGGTCTGCTTTTTTCATGACGTCAAAATAGGAAATTTAGAAGAAACCAAGAAAATTTGACGTCATAATAAAATTTCTACCAATCATTTGTCGAGAACAAAGTTTTCTCTAGAGATAAAAAATATTTTCGCACACCGACCGAGAAATGTGAAAAAAGCATGAAAATTAGAGAAGACGGGATGTATGCGTCAATGAGACCTTAATTCAACGACAAAATTAAACAAAAACATCTTTAGGGCAACATAGTCTCCAAAAATAAACAGATGTCTATACAATCGGAAAGGGGGATACTAACTATGTAATTGGTGGTAGGGATGATGTTACTGTTTCAAGCTTGATAATATATGACAAGGTCGAAAAAATAAGATGAAATACATTTTTTTTCACATGAAAGTCGCTGCCAATCCTGTATGAATTTTCAATGTCAGTTTTATTGTCTTCCAGTTGTTACGATATTCCAAAAGCTTGCGCTTCCTATCGTGATTTTCTCGATAAAGGATTGCTGCTTACAGAGAAGCTATTAAACCAAGAGTTTCAATTGGTGAAGTTGCAGACAAACATCCCTTCAAAGGTTTTACAGACGACACCACGAGTTGGTTGATCGTTATGGATAATCTTTGTCACATGTTTAAATTGTCGTAACCAGAATCCCGTCCACTTCAAAGTTGTCCTCTAACGTGACATCAAGGAAATAGAAGTACTTATATGAGCAACACTATGAATGCTACATCTGGACTTTTAAAAATTTGCATTAACAACTAACCGGCAATATTTTAAGTTGTGTATACAAGAAATAAATGTATTAAATTATCAGAATTAGATAGTAGAAGCATTAGTCTGTCAAAATAAAACTTTCTGTTGGGGACCGTTATAAGAAAATGTGTCTGTGAATATAGAAGTAACAATTTTCGAAAGCTAGCTGTTAATCCAGAGTTGACTTTAGCATATATATAAACAAGTCTAAATTGAAAACAACGTTCAAACCTATGATTGCGTTGGATAAAAACCGCAATTTTTATACGTGTGCATGCAAAACAAATTTCTTGTTGGAGGGGTCAAAATATAGCACAAACAACATTTTCCAAAAGACCAAAAAGGTGAAAAATTATATTTAAACAAAACGCATTTTACTAACAGGTCGAACAACAAATCTTCTTAAACCCTGTTGACTGCCATTGGCGATTGCCAAATAAACGGATCACAAAGATGTAACAAAATGGATCTTAACTATTAATTTAAAACCAAACAGAAAACAATAAACTTGCGGAAAAGATGGTATACCGCAAACAAAAGGTGCAAAAATTAGTACACCATATCCGGATTTCGACAATTAATGTCTCTTCAGTGATGTTAGGAATCGAAACGGTATTTGGAAGGCCATATAATTTACCTCAATTTAGGATAGACTCTTGAATTTTGAAGAGTCGAAATAGGATGAACGGATCATATAAACCCGAAGGCAAATATAATACAAGCCCAAACGAAAAAATATAAACAAGTCTAAATTGAAAACAACGTTCAAACCTATGATTATACGTTGGGTAAAAACCGCAATTTTTATACGTGTGCATGCAAAACAAATTTCTTGGTAGAGGGGTCTAAATACAGCACAAACAGCATTTTCCAAAAGACCAAAAAAAGTGAAAAAGTGAACAACGGATGTTCTTAAACCCTGCTGACTGCCATTGGCGATTGCCAAATAAACGGATCACAAAAATGTAACAAAATGGATCTTAACTATTAATTTAATACCAAACAGAATATATATATATTGTTTTCAGTGGCCGATCCGGGAGGGGGGATTCCGGGACCCCCTTTTATTTACGATCAGTGCTTAATTTGAATGGGGACATATAGTTAAAATCCCCCTTTATCCTGGGTTGGAACACCCCCACCCCCTTTTTAATAATGGCTGGATCCGCCCCTGGTTTTTTAGACAATTCTTTATTTCTGCTAGACTTTTATTTTCAAACAAATCTACTAGTAGTTAGAAATAGATTTGCAGCCCCTTTCTCCAGAGAATAATAAAATATATGTAAGGACAATCAAGTTTTCAGGTAAGGCCTTGGTGTCTTCGATGACGTCCGCACTCAGTATTTGGAAAAGATCCTACAAAATATAAAAAAGTTAATAAATAAAAAAAATTATAACAAAACAAGCTGATAAGGCAATTAAGTATGATTTTTCTATGTACAAAGTCGCGACTCGGGAATTATTGAAATTAAAAATTTAATTATTAAAACGATAAGGTTATTTAGACAATATTTACATGTGCCGATGTGGACAGATTTATTAATTTAAGACTGCAAGAAAAGGGAGGTAACGGTTTACTTACTTTACGTAGTTAAAAACATTAAAATATATATTAAAATGATAAAGTATATGTCGATTATTAAATGACATAAAAGGCGAACCATGAATGCACTGTTTTAATATTCTAAATATAGAAATGACGGTTAAATTTGGATTACGAATATTGTTAACCTTCACAGAATACTTTTTTTAATACTTTTTTTGTTTAAAACTACTGGGTTATCATTATCTTTTCTGTCCACAACACAACGGTACCGGCCTATGCAGTGCCGACGTACGACCAATGTTTGTCAGAGCATCAGACCTTGACCTAGTTTGACCAAGCACCTCTGTTTACTTGATGAAGAACGGCCGGTAAGTAATTACACGATATTATTCTATATTTCATGAGTTAAAAAATATAAAATATATCTTTAGAAAGGATCTGGTATAAAAATAATCAGATCATCAGGCAAAGGGACGTCAGAAATTGGAAAAACATATTGCCCGCATGGTTTCTGACTTTTTCAAAACTTCTGTCAGCGGCTGCCATTGTTACTCATAATGAGGTAACGAAATTGTTAAAATTGTGAAATATTACGCACTGACGACTTAATTCAACACAGTAAGATGGTAATTTTTATCATTATATGACCATTTACTCGGATCTTTAGAGTAATTTTCTGTGAAAATTTTGTGTATTTTGAATATCCAAAAGGACACGTGTAAACACAACCCTGAAATGCCGAGTACAACATTAGCCCGTGTTGTTAAAATTTAAGGTGTCAGGAATTTCAGAGGATGCAGACAAGTTGACAAAGTCGATAGAGAAGTAAATAGTTTAGTAAACTTTTTGCAAATTTTCGAAATTAATGAGAACATTGTTTTTTCTTTTGCTTGTTTTGGTATTTTCGACATGAGAGTGCGCAAAGCTTCGAACATTTTCTGCGCATCAGTAGAATTTTTAAAGGCATGTGACTCTTACTAATAAATAATTTAATTTCGCCCATATTTAATTATAAAACGTGCTTTTTTTCTGAAAAAAAAACGGTTGATATGTATTTGGCATTTGTTGAAATTTAGTAACTGTTTGGATCAGCTGTTTGTAAATCAAAGTTGACACCTGTGATAAATTTGAAATGTGATTGGTTGTTCATATAATTTGGGGCATGTGGAAGGGTTAAAAAAAAAGAAAAGGGTTGTAAAAAATGACATTCCATGATTTTTTAAGTGTTTGTAATTGTTGGCCCTTTATTTCAAGCTATGTACATTTGTAAATCAATGGCCGCTATCACAATGTTTCCTAGTTAAACAATAATGATTTGATAGGGAATAGGTCTTTTTGTTCAAAAAATTTAGTTTTTATTTTTTTCTATGAATTCCAATGAGATTAAATAAAAACATGTAGGTAAGAATAGATGAAAACAAGTAGGAAATGTGTCCACAAAAATATCTTTCATCATTACCTAAATTTACCATTTTGTTTATCAAACCTTGCACTCTATTTTCCTGAGTGGTTGAAATCAATAAAATTTTGTTAACTTTCAACAAAATCTCTAACTTTTGCGTACTTGGGGTGTAAATGTCAAAGCCTTATTAGAAAATATATAATGACATTAATCTATTTCACTTGCTTACAAAAAATTGTTTTTGCATAAACTTGAGCAATTTTCATCTTTAAATTCTATTAAAAAATTTATTTAACATTGGGCTAAATAAGGCTTATGTGAGCCAAAATTTGTTCCTGTGAAAAAAGTTCCAGTGGAACTAATATCACAGGAAATATGTTCTGGGAGAACTTTTTTCACAGATTATTTCTATATAATTTGTTCCATTTCTATAAAAAAAAGTTCCACACTTTACCTGGTGAAATAAGTACCGGGTTGGTGAAATTTGTTCCTTACCTGGTGAAATAAGTTCCGGGTTAATGAGATTTGTCCCTTATCTGGTGAAATAAGTTCTGGGTTTGTGAGATTTGTTCCTAACCTGGTGAAATAAGTTCCTTGTCTGTGAAATATGTTCCACTGGTTAAACAAGTTATCTTATATACTGAGCATTTGTCATCAGTGAGTTTAAAGTTATCATTCAAGTGCATTATAAAAATAAGTATTATATCAATAATAAAAAAAGTAAAAAGTGTAAATCATCCAATTCGGATCCTGTGGAGTATAGCAAATGTTTAATTATATACCCTGTAAAAAATATCAAAATGACACTTTTCAGCCAGAAAAGAGAAGAATAGGAAAAATCAATCATTCAGAAAAAAAAGTATAGTTAAAGATGAACATATGTACTTATTTGAAAAGGACAAAGTGACTGATCAGTTATATCAAAAGACATGTAGAAACAAAAGACACACTCTTTTGAAACTGTGCTATGACCTAAGTACTTGTATGACTAGAACATGCGGCCATGACAGTTAACAAAAACCAAGGAGGAATACCACATAAAACATAAATACAAATTATGATACATTACCATCACTTTTATTTCTTATCTTCATCCTTTAGTTACAGTCATGCCTTCAATTGCAAATGTATTCCAGTACAGCACTCAGCTTGCATTATAATTTAAATGTAACAAGAAAATATTTCGCTTACAATTTGTTGCAAAGGTACTTATTTTCTGTGAAAATAGGTTTGAGCGGAACTTATTCATTGATTTTTATGAAATATGTACACGTTCGTTTAAAACAAATATCACAGGAACTTATTTAACTTTTTAAAACTCTTAATATTAATTGGAACAAAATTCATGGAGCTATGATTTTTGTTCTGGAACTTATTTCACATTTGGTCATAAAATTAGTTACCGGAACAAATTTTACAGTGCTGGAACATATTTTCTGTGATATAAAGTCCGGTGGAACATATTTCCTATGAAATTTATTCCGGCGGAACAAATGTCACGCCGGAACAAATTTTTTGTTACATTTACATCAAATGCTTCTTTCATCCTTAGGAAAGAAAAGGGGATGGGGTGTAAAATACTTTTATTTAGGGTCACTTTAAGTGCCCATTCAGAATTATCAGAAACACACAATAAATGGATTCTTTTATTCTTTTTAAGATGGATGAAAGAATTTTGAATGGTGTTTGTAATGGTTTTTTTTTTTTTTAGAATTTAACAGTACCATGAACAACAAAACATCTTGAATTAAACTGAAAGAGTTGTTAAAAAAGTCAATTGACTGAAAAACAGATCCAGTGTTGGATGTTGGTGTGGTCTGTTGCACTGTCTAATAGTTTTGTTAATTCATGTTATCTTTTAAATGTATTTATCTAAGACTCTACAAATCAAAATAAGTTTTAATGCAAGAGATAATTAACTGGATTTTCGAAGTAAAAATCGGTTATTGATTTGGGGATGTACGGCCAAACAGTGTCCATTCATTTACATGAAAACGCTTTGAAGACATTTTTTCAAATTTAGATATGTTGTTTCCTGTGACTAAATGAAGGTCAAGTTTAATTTTCATGATTTTAGCTTTTCTCTTTGTTCAGTTATAGCCCTTTACCAAGAATTCAATTTTTGAAGAATTAATCCATTTCTGTACAAAGGGAAATAACTCATTGTTTAAAAAATTTTTAAAAGACATTGTATTAATGATAAATGACATTTTGGATTTTTTTTCTTTTCTTTGGTTAATTGTTTGAAGAATTTTGTGGTAGGTTTGTTTGTTATGCTGTATAAACTAATTTTCTGAATGCTATATATATAATTTTTTTTTTATGAAGTGAACTCCTTTAATTAGATAATAATATATTTTTATTAAAGGATATATTTCATTACATTACATTGTGTAGATAAAGTTGATAGATAAGTTGCAGATCTATATTAGTTTGTGACAAATGATAGAAAAAATATTTGGAACTATTAATTATATTTGATTATAATTTGAAAATGGATATACATTGTGTTACATCATATCTAATTTTAGAGAACTATTTTTAGTGAAATCATATCTAATGTTAGAGTACTATGTTAAACCATATTTCTGTTCAAAGGGAAATAACTCAAACTTATTCCATGAACCAGTAATGATTACATCGAAATTTCTTTATAACTTTTTATTTTAAGTCGTGTGTTATGAAGGTAGATGTCACAGTTGTTATGGGTATTTTATTTTTGTTGTGTGTGTGTTAATGTAATTTTTACATGATCCTGTTTGGGGTTCAGATTTGCAAATATCATTTTCATTATAATTAGATAATAATCTATTATAAATATTCAATCACAATCCAAATTCAGAGCTGTTTTAAGCTTAAATGTTGTGTCCATACTTGCTCAACTGTTCAGGGTTCGACCTCTGCAGGAAAATCCGGTTTGCTGTCACTCGACAGCCTCTTGTTTTCTTTTTCACTAGCTTAAATTTAACTTGAGCAAGTTGATATTAGTCAACTCTCAGTCATAGCTGCTGTAACATTAACTGACATACATGTACAAGTAAAAAAATGTCAAAAATCTTATCAATGCAAAGGCCAATTTTGAAGTCAAGCACCCAGATAAGATTGCACAAATATTGGTCTCAAAGAACTCATTAATGGGTAAAAAAGATAAACATGATCAAATCAACCTTAAAACTGTAAAAGAATCTGAACCATTCAAAACTAACATAAAAAAATTTATTGACCTTTACAAGGTGAACGTTGTCAAACATTGGGTCATTTCAAAGGTTATTGTCATCAATTTAAATATCAAGAACCCAGATGAGAGTACAAGTAATAGCTCATATATAACTGAACCTCTGTGTCTGTATAAAATAAAAACATAAACTTTGACTTTAAAGAAAAACTGTTCAAAGAGGTAAATTAATAACAGTTTTGACCTTTAAAACTGAAAAATCAATGTTCTACTGAGTTATATTCCACCTCACTGATTTCTGATACTCAGTTCAGTAACTGTGAACTATTGTAAAAGATTGTGATTGCATAGATTTAAGTTCAATTTCGCAACTTAAAAATACCCAACTCTGTTGGAGATAAACTAGCTAAAAATGGACAACGGCCTGACCAAATCAAGTTGATTTCATCACATAAACATATTTTGCATGCAAAAGTCAAAATAGAAAGAGACTTGCTTAAGTCTGAGCTCTGACTGTATTGAGTAATTTTATTTTTAGATAATAGAAGAAAGTTCAATTAATTATGGATGCCGATCCTGATTTGGACAAGAAAGATGTACGTCGTCCAATGAATGCCTTCTTGATTTTCTGTAAACGACATAGAAGTATTGTAAGGGAGCGAAATCCTCACCTTGACAACCGAAGTGTGACTCGTATCTTAGGAGATCTATGGGCCAACATTGGTGATGAGGAAAAAAACAAGTATACTGACCTTGCAAAGCAGGTGAATTTATTAAACACAAATATTGAAAAATGATATAAAAAAATATAACTGGAAAGTTATAAAATTGAGATAGGAAATGGGGAATGTGTCAAAGAGACAACAACCCGACCGGAGAGCAGAAAACATCCGAAGGCCACAAATGGGTCTTCAACACAGCGAGAAAATCCCACACCCGGAGGCAGGCTTCAGCTGGCCCCTAAACAAAATTGTGTACTAGTTCAGTGAAAATGGACGTCATACTAAACTCCAAAACATATAAATGATAATATTTATTTTATATCATTTATATGTGCACTTATGTTCAATTTTAAGAATTTTCATAACATCAAGAGATAAATCTAATTTCTGTTTTGGATGAAACACTTATATATTCACTATTCATTGACCTGTTGAGGACATATAAAGATACTGTGTATAACATGATGCTAAAGAGAAGAAGCATTTGTTTTCTGTTGTTTTTCATAAGTTATTTCTTGGCACATGTATACATTGTATATCGCAATTATTGTTCACAAAAGTATGAGCATGCATATTGAGGAAATACATTATGGGAAAATACAACACAAATGACAAGTATTTAAAACTACAATATTTCTTAATTAGAATGTCAGTATTTCAATCTTAATATAGAATGAAATATTTAGTGGTATAGTCTAAGGGTTGAGACATTTTAGAATTGATAATGTTATTATGTTCAATTTAAATCTGTTCACAGTATAAAGATGCCTTCATGAAGGCTAATCCTGACTACAAGTGGCATAATCCAGAGAGAATGACTCAGTTACCAACTACCAAACCATCAAATAAACCAACCAATGAGAGAGTACCTTCTGTCAGTACATTTGTTCCAGATGATGGCCCTATTGTACCGGGAAAACTAGCTGGTAACTTTATAGAATAAGGCTATCTCAAATTTGTTAAAATATACCAGAAAACTCTGTTACTTCTTTCAGAAGTGTCATATTTTTCATGTTCTCATTAAGATTCATTTTATCTAATTTAAGACTTGAACATTAAAACAAATTAAACTTTTTATTTGAATATGCTTTAAAATACTAGAGAATGTGTTTATGATGATTTTTAGTAGTGTTCTTGTATAAATGCATTAATTTTTATACGACCGCAAAAATTTTGCGGTCGTATATTGGTATCACGTCGTCGTCGTCGTCAGAAGACACATTGGTTTCCGGACAATAACTTTTGTTTAAGTGTATGAATTACTATGAAATTTTACCATAAGGTTTATGACCACAAAAGGAAGGTTGGGATTGATTTTGGGGGTTATGGTCCTAACAGTTCTGGAATTAGGGGCCAAAATGGGGCCCAAATAAGCATTTTCTAGTTTCCAGACAATAACTTGTGAAATGGTGTATGGATCTCTCTGAAATTGTACCACAAGTTACCATATTACAAAGGGATGGTAAGAATTTGCTTTGGGGGGGGGGGGGGGGGGTTATGGCTCAAACTATAATAAGGGGCAAAAAAGGGGGAAAACAAGGGTTCCCTGGTTAATGAATAATTACTTAAGTACAAAACATAATGTTAAAGCAGTGTAAGGGAGGTAATTCAAACACATATTGTCAAATTACCTTCCTTACACTGCTTGTAAATTGTCTTTAAGTGATTATCTGTCAATTTATTTTTAGAAATTACTATTTTAAAAATGTTTGATAAAGGTAATTTAATTATAGCCATGATTATGTATGTGAAGGAATTTTATTTACTATTTAATGTTGCTGATGGAGGCTTTTTAATTTTAGGCATGATTTTGATGTCATTTTCTATTTTAAAAATTATTTAATTTTAGCCATGATAAAGTATGTGAAGGAATTTTATTTTAAGATTTTACTATTTAATGTTGCTGATGAAAGTGTTTTAATTTGAGGCATGATTATGATTTCATTTTCTATTTTAATACTTTTATCATGTATTTAAATGGGTTTTTATGGTTGCAAAGTTCTAGCTGTCAATTTATTTTTAGAAGTTACTTTTAAATGCTGATGAAGGAATTTTATTTTTATACGATCGCAAAAAATTTGCGGTCGTATATTAGTATGACGTTGGCGTCGTCGTTGTCGTTGTCGTCATCGTCGTCCGAAGACACATTAGTTTTCGCACTATAACTTTAGTTTAAGTGAATGGATCTCTATGAAATTATACCATAAGGTTCAATACCACAAAAGGAACGTTTGGATTGATTTTGGGGGTTATGGTACCAACAGTTAAGGAATAAGGGGCCAAAAAGGGGCCAAAAATAAGCATTTTTGTAACTTCCAGACAATAACTTGTGTGTAAGTGTATGGATCTCTCTGACATTGTACCACAAGGTTCCATATCACAAAGGGAAGACTGGAATTGATTTTGGGGGTAATTGTCCGAAACGTTTAGGAATTGGGGGCCAAAAAGGGGCCAAAAATAAGCATTTTTCTAGTTTCCAGACAATAACTTGTGTTCAAGTGTATGGATCTCTCTGAAATTGTACTGCAAGGTACCATACCACAAAGGGAAGGCTGGGATTGATGATGGGGGTAATTGCCTCAATATTTTAGGAATTAGGGGCCAAAAAGGGGCAAAAAACAAGCATTTTTCTAGTTTCAGGACAATAACTAGTGTGTAAGTGTATGGATCTTTCTGAAATTGTACTACAAGGTTCCATATCACAAAGGGAAAGCTGGGTTTGAGTTTGGGGGTAATTGCCCTAAACGTTTAGGAATTTGGGGCCAAAAAGGGGACAAAAAAACAAATTTTTCTAGTTTCCAGACAATAACTTGTGTTCAAGTGTATGGATCTCTCTGAAATTGTACTGCAAGGTACCATACCACAAAGGGAAGGCTGGGATTGAGTTTAGGGGTGATGAATCATAAGGGGGTTCAAAAAATTGGGGGGGGGGATTTTTTTTTCCTTTTTTTTCTTTTTTTCCTTTTTTTTTCTTTTAAAATTTTCCATTTTAAGTTGGTTATTTCTGATTTATATTTAAAAGCAAATAATAAAGATATGGTAGGAGATACACACCAAACAGGATGTGTAAATTATTATATAATAAGTATTGTGCAATAGCAAGAAATTTTCAATTGCACAGTATTTCACAATAGCAAGAAATCTTCAGTTGCACAGTATTGCGCAATAGCAAGAAATCTTCAATTGCACAGTATTGCGCAATAGCAAGAAATATCCAATAGCGCAATATTGCGCAATAGCAAGAAATTGTCAATTGTACAGTATTGCGCAATAGCAAGAAATATTCAATTGCACAGTATTGTGCAAAAGAAGATACTTCGTATAAATTGCTTATTTCTTGACCAATTTCAATGGGGTTTTATTCTTGAATTCTTGGGGTTCTTTAATATGCTGAATCTAACCGTGTATTAAGTTTTTGGATTTTGGGCCCCGTTTTTAAATTGGTCCAAAGGGTCCAAAATTAAACTTTGTTTGATTTCATTAAAAATTGAATTATTGGGGTTCATTGATATGCCGAATCTAACCACCGTGTATTTAGATTCTTAATTTTTGGTTCCGTTTTCAAATTGGTCTACATTAAGGTCCAAAGGGTCCAAAATTAAACTTAGTTTGATTTTAACAAAAATTGAATTCTTAGGGTTCTTTGATATGCTGAATCTAAACATGTATTTAGATTTTCGATTATGGGCTCAGTTTTCAAGTTGGTCCAAATCGGGGTCCAAAAATAAACTTTGTTTGTTTTCAACAAAAATTGAATATATGGGGTTCTTTGATATGCTGAATCTAACCATGTATTTAGATTTTTGATTTTTGGGCCCCGTTATCAACTTTGTTCACATTGAGGTCAAAAGGGTCCAAAATTAAACTTTATTTGATTTCATCAAAAATTGAATTCTTGGGGTTCTTTGATATGCTGAATCTAACCATGTATTTAGATTTTGGATATTGGACCATAATAGGTGAATGTCCAATTTAAAATTTTAAAGTTCTTAGACCACATTCATTCTGTGTCTGAAACCTATGCTGTGTCAAATATTTAATCACAATCCAAATTCAGAGTTGTATCAAGCTTGAATGTTGTGTCCATACTTGCCCCAACTGTTCTGGGTTCGACCTCTGCGGTCGTATCAAACTGCGCCTGGAGCATTTTATAAGTTATTACTATTAAAAGTTGCTGATGAAGGTTTTTTAATTTTAGCCATGACTATGATGTCATTTTCTATTTTAATACTTTTATGATGTATTTAAATGGGCTTTTATGGTTAAAAAAAAAGTATTTTTCTAGTTTCCAGACAGTTACTTGTGATTAAGTGTATGGATCTCTCTAAAATTGTACTACAAGGTTCCATACTACAAAGGAAAGACTGCAATTGAGTTTGATGTTAATGCTAAAAGGGGGATTCAAAAAGTTTGGGGGGAATTGGGGTTTCCAATTTTTTATACGCCCTTTTACGGGATGTATTATGGTATACCGTTGACCGTCTGTCCGTCCGTCCGTCACCATCTGTTGTCAACATGTCGGACATTAACTCAAAAAAGCTTTAACCAATATGCATGAAACTTTGGTGAATTGTTTATATCTATTGACCTGAGCTCCCTTTTGTTTTTTATAAATTTCCGAGTTTTGGGGTTTTATTCATTAAAAAAGGGGGTTTTCCAGTTTTCCGACAATAACTCAAGAATGCTTTCACCAACTTGTAAGAAATTTTGGTGAATTGTTTATATCTATTGACATGAGCTCCATTTGGGATTTTTATATAGTTTAGATTTAACGTTTCCGAGTTACAGGGTTTTATTCATATAAAAAGGGGGGTTTTCAGGTTTTCGGACAATAACTAAAAAATGCTTTCAGCAGTTCTCATGAAACTTTGATGAATTGTTTATATCTGTTAATGTAAGCTCCCTTTAGAATTTTATAAATTTTAGATTTTACATTTTTGAGTTATGGGGTTTTATTCATTAAAAAAGGGGCTATTTTCCAGTTTTTGGACAATAACTCAAACATGCTTTCAGCAGTTCTCATGAAACTTTGGTGAACTATTTATAGCTATTGATGTAATCTCCCTATTGATTTTCATAAATTTCAAATATGACATTGAAAAGAAATTGAACTTTATTTGTTTATAGTCTGACAACAGATTTACTAAGTATTGCGCAACAGCACAGTGTATTGCACAACAGCAAGAAATCTTTAATTGAATATAAATTCAATTCATATAACCAATTTCAAATTCTTTGACTACATTTATTCAGAAACCTATGATATGTCAAATATTTAATTACAATCCGAATTCAGACCTGTATCAAGCTTGAATATTGTTTCCATTTTTGCCCCAACTGTTGAGGGTTGGACCTCTGCGGGCGTATCTAGCTGCGCTAAGCGAAGCAGTTTATTTTTTAAAGGGTTCATATTTTTTTTTTTAATTTTTAAATTTTAAAAATTTTAAAAAGTTTTAAGAAGAAATCTTCAATTGCACAGTATTGCGCATTAGATTTGTAAGATCTTTGACCACATTTATTTTGTGTCAGAAACCTATATTATGTCAAAAATTTGATCACAATCCAAGTTCAGATAGTATCAAGCTTGAATATTGTGTCCAAATTTGCCCCAACTGTTCAGGGTTCGACCACTGCGGTCATATCAGGCTGCGCTCAGTGAAGCATTTTATTGTATTATGATAAACTTCTTGTTCTTACAGATCCATCAAACATGGGAGGATTAAGTATGTTAATGGAAGGCATCCAAGTGAAAAGTAACCAATTTACTGCATCCAGGAAGGCTGAGCAAAATACTAAACCAGTCATCTTGCCTTTATTGACAGCCACATCTCCCTTCCACTCATGGCCCTCTCACCAGGTAATTAAAGTATGAAATGCTTCGATGAAAAATAAAGTTTCAAGATGAAACAAAAATTGTTTGACCTCAAGAAGATTTGTATTCAAGCATATCTAAGTTAGTCTCACTATGTGCCATTAGGAGAAAGTCATGTGGCTAACTTTTATGGCTTTATCTAGAGTCAGCTTTAGAGGTAAACCTTTGTAAAGTTTTATGTTTTAACTTCATATCTCAGTCAGTATATATAGTAGGATTAGGTAAACTAGAGGAAGACAGCATCCAGACAAAAATAGGAAACTGTGAACTACATTTTCTCCTTCATTGACAAGTTATGTATTATCCATATTTATACATAATCTGCACTGTCACCCTTTTTATACGACCGCAAAAAATTTTGCAGTTGTATATTGGTATCACGTTGTTGTCGTCGTCGTAGTCCGAAGACATTTGGTTTCCAGACAATAACTGTAGTATTAGTGAATAGAAATCTATGAAATTTAAATATAAGGTTAATATCCACAAAAGGAAGGTTGGAATTGATTTTGGGGGTTATGGTCCCAACAGTTTAAGAATTAGGGCCCGAAAAGGGGCCCAAATAAGCATTTTTCTAGTTTCATTACAATAACTTTTGGAACAGTGTATGGATCTCTCTGAAATTATACCACAAAGGGATGGTTAGGATTGGCTTTGAGGGGTTATGGCTCAAACCGTTTAGGAATTAGGGGCAAAAAAGTGAGAAAAAAACAAGGGTGTCCTGGTTAATGGACAATTACTTAAGTACAAATTACAGTGTAAGGGAGGTAATCCAAGCACAACTTTGAATTACCTCCCTTACACTGCTTTTAAATTATGTATAAAGAATTTTTGTATTGTCTTGAGGTGATTACCTCTATATTCGTTTTTAGAAGTTACTATTTTAATAATTTTAAAAATGCTGATTAAGGTAAATTAATTTTAGCTATGATTATGTATGTCATTTTCTATTTTCAGACTTTTATGATGTATTTAAATGGCTTATTATGGTTGCAAACTCAATTGAAATTTGAATTGAAATTATGACCATGACTGAGGGAAAGAATTTTTTTTTGGAAAAAAAAGGGGGGGGGGGGGTTAAAAAATTGGGGGGTGGGGGGATGGGGAGGGGGACAATATTTTATCCTCAAGATTTCAGTAATCAAAAAGAAAATCCTTTTTTTTAAAAAGGGGGGAGGGGCAATTTGCAACAGCATAGTGTATTGCACAAAAGCAAAATATTAAATATAAATTCAAATCATATAACCAATTCTAAGTTCTTTAACTACAGTTATTCTGTGTCAGAAACCTATTATGTGTTATATATTGAATTACAATCCAAATTCTGACCTGTATCAAGCGCGAATATTGTGTCCCATTTTTGCCCCAACTGTTCATGGTTGGACCTCTGCGGTCGTATCCAGCTGCACTCGGCAAAGCAATTTATTGGAATTGGAATTGGAGGGAAAAACTTTACTCTTGTTTGAAAACATCAAGTAAAATTTTGGTAATTTTAAGTTGTGAATGGTTGTTTGCAGTATTTTTATCATGTTTATGGAAAACCTTGGTTTCCTTCACCAAGAAGAAGTTAAAAATGTTTGTAAAGTATTCTAGAACAGTACACAAGCATTATAATAAGCCTAAATCACAAACAAACATAAAAATAAGAAAACTGGTGTTTGTCATTAAATGGATATGTGAATCCCAAACAAATTCAGTGGGAGTGTGGAAAAATCCTGTATTTTTAAAACAGATATAACAAAAGAATACAACTTTGAAATTAAAAGTGCAGTCCTTTAGTAAAATATTGATCAATTTATTCATCACTTAAGTGTTTGAAGGATCTTGAGCTGGAACAAAACAATGGTAGCTGTCTGAAACATCATATCTGAATGAATCACAGGTTACTTAGTGTAGTTTATTGTCCCCTGTGCAACATGTTGCGGGGACATAGAAATACTGGGCATCTGTCCAGTCTTGTTAGCGCTCTCACATGTACAATTCTTGCCAGATTTTTATGAAACTTATATCATAGGTTTATATCAGCAATGTCTTGGACGAGTTCGAAAATTAATGCCAATCAATTATATTTAAAAGAGTTATGCCCCTTGGAAACATTAATTTTATGGAAAATTGCATCGTTAGGGCTCTCATTTGTTCAATTCTTGCCAGATTTTGATGAAACTTATATGGTAGGTTTATGTCAGCAATGTCGTGGATTAGTTTGAAAATCAGTCTCGATCAATTAGCGGAAGGGGCATTAAGTTTTATCCTTGTCCGTCTGTACATACGTACATCTCAAAATTGATTTCCATTCATTAACTTTAGTTTGCCTCAACCAAATGTTATATGAAACTTATACACAATGCTTATTACCACAAAACACAGATCAAGTTTGAATTTTGGTGGTGTCATTTTTACTGTTCTAGAGTTATGCCGGTTTAGAAATGGAAAAATTGCTGAATTTTTTGTTTCCGTTCTCTAACTTAAGTTTGCTTCAACCAGATGTTATGAAACTTATATACAATACTTGTTACCACAAAACTCAGATCAAGTACAGGGGCCTCTGTGGCCAAGTGGTCTAGTAGTTCTACTACTGTAATCACTAGCCAGTCAACACTGAGGTTGTGAGTTCAAACCCCACTTGTGTGAGTGCACTCGACTCCAATCTTAATTGACTAGGATTGTTAGTTTTCCTATCGAAGGTCATGGTTTTCTTCGGGCACTCCGGCTTCCTCCACCAATAAAAATTGGCCGCCACGAAATAGCCCAAATGTGGCGCTTAAAAGTGGCGTTAAAACACCAACAATCAGATCAAGTTCAGATTTGGGTAGTGTCACTTTTACCGATCTTCAGTTATGTACCTTTATAACTTTATATGATATGCAAGCGGGGCATCATCTGTGTCCCATGGACACATTCCCCATTTTTATTGGTGAAAATAGATTTTTACGCAAAGGTATAATTTGTTTATAAGGAATTGTATCTTCAGTATAAACATTTTGGATCATTGTTAAACCAATTGATATATTTTGAAAGTAGTTTTATTTTGTTACTCCTTATAATATACTTAATAGATGATGTGGCTTACTATTTATTTTATCTTATTTTTCGCTTGTTATACCCTATGAAATCAACCCTGTCTGGCAATTTGAATTTTGGAGTAAAACAAAAATCCAGATCATACATGCCCAAATACAGTAGTATACTACAAATGTTAACAATAGAAGAAATTTGAAGAAAAAATAAATCTTTTGACCTATTGTTTTTTTTGACAAATATTCACTCGGCATAATTTGATTCATTTAAAATGTTTTATATATGTTTATTTTAGGATTTTGCTCTTGAAGAGGAAAGGAAGTTGGTGATTGATGAAGTTAATATAACACCAGAAGAAAAAAGTAAGATCACACAGAAACTACAAATTTATAGGATTTTAGATATTTTATGCTTATTTAATGCTTCTTGAAAAAAAAAGCTAAAACAAGGTAAAAGGTGTCCTATCAGTGTAATGTTGAAAAGTTACATGTAGTGACAAAAATGCAGAGTACATTTATACCTCACCTGACCCACAGGGTCATGTGAACTATTCTTATCACTTTGGCATCCAGCTCTTTAATTATCATTTCTACTATTTTTTTTGTTGCTAATTATGCAAAAACTGTAATAGATAAAGAAAAAAAACAAAAAGTACAAATGATGAACAAAGATCATCAAATAATACCCTTTTTATATGTTGGGCAAAAAGTAAAGAAAAAAAAGAAAAACTGTTAACAGGAAAAATTATCAGCAAGACAAGATTTGCAAATCAGTAAACAAAGTCAGAATTGTAAGTCCACTTTTTGTCTCGCCTTGAAGGATTTAAAAAGCGAGACATAGGTATGCTGTTTCTGGTGGCTACGGGGGCAGTGGCGGCGTCAACAATGTATTACTTTGTGATTAGGTCTAGTTCATGGTGAACCACTAGTGGTAGGTCAATGATATTTGGTATGCAGTTGTATTAGCATTGGCACATCTCATTACCATGTAGATTATTTAGCCCCGACCCCTCAGTCAAGGTCTATTGACTTTGAAACTTTTCATAGTTTAAATGTATTAGTTTGTGATTAGATCAGTTTAAGATGAACCGCTAATGTTAAGTCAATGATATTTGGTATGCAAATTTATTGGCCTTTGCAAGTATCGTTTCCATGGAGATGATATAGCCCCACCCCTGATCATGGTTCATTGACTTTGAAACTTTTACATAGTTTATAAGTTAATGTTTGTGTTTAATTTTGTTTAAAGGGAACGACTTATAATAAGTCAATGGTATTTGGTATGCAGTTGTATTAGCATTGGCACATCTCATTCCATGGAGATTGTTTAGCCATGTACCTACAGTCATGATTCATTGACTTTGAATATTTGCATAACTTACATGTTAAGTATTGCTATTTTAATTTCAACATTTGCATTATCAAAATTACAAAAAGGCTAGACATATCTCTGTGATAACAGTTTATTATAGAAGTTATTGCCTTTTATTGTTCAGTGGTTGTCGTATGTTGTTGTGGTTGATAAGTGTTTCTCGTTTCTCGTTTTTTATACGACCGCAAAAAAATTTTTGTGGTCGTATATTGGTATGACGTTGGCGTCGTCGTCGTCGTCGTAGTCGTCGTCGTCGTCGTCGTCCGGCGTCGTCGTCCGAATACACATTAGTTTTCGCACTCTAACTTTAGTTTAAGTGAATGGATCTCAATGAAATTTTACCATAAGGTTCAATACCACAAAAGGAAGGTGGGGATTGATTTTGGGGGTTATGGTACTAACAGTTAAGGAATTAGGGGCCAAAAAGGGGCCAAAAATAAGCATTTTTGTAACTTCCAGACATAACTTGTGTGTAAGTATATGGATCTCTCTGACATTGTACCACAAGGTTCCATATCACAAAGGGAATGCTGGGATTCATTTTGGGGGTAATTGCCTCCAAATTTTAGGAATTAGGGGCCAAAAAGGGGCAAAAAACAAGCATTTTTCTAGTTTCATGACAATAACTTGTGTGTTAGTGTATGGATCTCTCTGACATTGTATCACAAGATTTCATATCACAAAGGGAATACTGGGATTGATTTTTGGGGGTAATTTCCTCCAAATTTGGGGAATTAGGGGCCAAAAAGGGGCAAAAAACAAGCATTTTTCTAGTTTCAGGACAATAACTTGTGTGTTAGTGTATGGATCTTTATGAAATTGTACTGCAAGGTTCCATATCACAAAGGGATAGCTGGGTTGGAGTTTGGGGGTAATTGCCCTAAATGTTTAGGAATTAGGGGCCAAAAAGGGACAAAAAAACAAGCATTTTTCTAGTTTCCAGACAATAACTTGTGTTCAAGTGAATGGATCTCTCTAAAATTGTACTGCAAGGTACCATACCACAAAGGGAAAGCTGGGATTGAGTGTTGGGGCGATGAATCATAAGGGGGTTCAAAAAATTTGGGGGGGGGATTTTTTTTCCTTTTTTTTCTTTAAAATTTTCCATTTTAAATTGGTTATTTCTGATTTATATATAAAAGCAAATAATAATGATATGGTTTGAATAGCATACATGTGAACCTCCCGACAGGAGTACAATAATCCTGTTTTCAGGAGTCTCCTCCCGACCTCCGGTTGAAGAGGAAAATTATAATCCCGTGTATGAAATTTTTCATGAATGAAAAATTTCTGCCCAACATATCATCTCAGGCATCTGGTGTAACTCACATTACCTGAAGTTATATTTTACCTGTAAATCAATTAACATGCATAATTATATGGCTTCACTTGTCAGCTTGGGTGTCAAACATACTGGTAATCAACGATTTTTTACCTCAGGCTAACTGCCGTTGTGTAACAAAAACTGTGTATTTATTGGGTTACTTCCCTTGATTTATCCTGTTTTAAGTTACTTTCCTTTTAATAATGAAAATTTTTAAAAGAATATAAATAAAATATAAATTGAACAAATAATCATAAAAGGATGGTAAATAAATGATTTTAAATGTCTTAGGACAAATAAAAAAATAATAATTTGAAAATTATTTGAGGATTCTATACTTCCTTTCAAGGCTTAAATTGAAATTTATATAATAACTATGACCCTTGTTTTGCAGTTAGAATGATTTTCTGAGTATGCAAACAAAAGCTATTTGCAGATAGTTAAACAAATGTTCTGGTTGCAATAAATGTTTTATAGAATATGAAGTAAAAAATTTAAAGAACATACTGAAAAAAAAAAAATGTTAGATTGAACATGTAAAATATAAAGATGGAGAAACTTTATAAGTACAAGGGTACTATAAACATAATAAATTGGATGGAAAGTTGAAGAAAACACACTTTAAAAGACCATTTTTACAGCACACGGTTACATTTACGACAAAATTTATGTCGATTAAAAACCTCCTGATCTGAGTCCTAATCTCCTGACCAAAATTTCCCAATCTCCTGATCTGAGTTTCACAGTCCATCACATATATGAATAGGTAAATTAAAAAATTATAAGTTCTTAGACCACTTTCATTCTGTGTCAGAAACCTATGCTGTGTCAAATATTTAATTACAATCCAAATTCAGTGCTGTATCAAGCTTGAATGTTGTGTCCATACTTGCCCCAACTGTTCAGGGTTTGACCTCTGCGGTCGTATCAAGCTGCGCCCCAGCGGAGCATTTTATTATATAGATTGAACCATTGGTTTTCCTGTTTGAATGATTTTACAGAAATCATTTTTGGGGCCCTTTATAGCTTGCTGTTTTGTGTGAGCCAAGGCTCTGTGTTGAAGGCGGTACTTTGACCTAAATGGTTTACTTTTACTTTTGGATGGATATTTGTCTCATTGGCACTCATACCACATCTTTTTAATGACCTTTTTACTCTTATTTTTATATTATGGGCAAAAACTATAGTGGAGAGAAATTGAAAAAATTATCAGCAATACAAGATGAACAAAAAAGAGATCTTAGTCATGTATTATATTCTCGTCTTCACTGTTGAAAATGCACATAGATCAAGGTGAATGTCACATTCTCTTTAGGGCCTCTAGTTTAGTCACCTTGGATGTTGGACTGGCAGAGCCACTGGCATCACTATTGCATCCATTATACTCTTTAAACAATAATTAATCTTCTGTAACCACCAGCCAAATTTGGACCTAACTTATATATATTGAAGATATTTTTATAAAAATTCATCTATTAGTTTTTATACGGCCGCAAAATTTTTTTGCGGTCGTATATTGGTATCACATCGTCGGCGTCAGTGTTATCTGAAGACATTTGGTTTCCAGACTATAAATTTAGTTTAAGTGTATGGATCTCTATGAAATTTAACCAAAAGGTTCAATACCACAAAAGGAAGGTTGGGATTGTTTTTTGGGGCGATGGTCCCAACTGTTTAGGAATTGAGGGCCAAAACAAGCATTTTTCTAGTTTCAGGACAATAACTTGTGTATAAGTATTTTGATTGCTCTGAAATTGTACCACAAGGTTCAATACCACAAGTAGAAGGTTGGGATTCATTTTGGGGGTAATTGCCCAAACTGTTCTGGAATAAGGGGCCAAAAAGGGTCTTAAACAAGAATTTTTCTAGTATTCTTGTTTTTTTGGTTTTTTTTTTTGGGGGGGGGGGGGGGGGGGGGATGGTAAAAACAAAATTTTTTTGGGGGGGTCAATTTTTTTCCTAAATATTTAAGAAATTGTCAATTTTCCAAAGAAAAAAATTGGGGGTCACAATTCATTTTGCTAATTCTTTGTATATAGTCTGAAAACAGATTTACTAAGTATTGCACAACAGCAAGAAATCTGGTGTATGGATGTCTCTTAATTTGTACAACATTTTACAAAAAGAAAATTTCTTCAAAATTAATTGTTTTGAAAAGGGGGGGTAGTTTTTTTTCCTCGAAAAAAAAATTTTCTTCAAATATTTTTTTTTTGGAAAGGGGGGGGGGGGGGGTCAATTTTTTCTCTCTCAAGATTTAAGAAGTTGTCAATTTTTCAAAGAAAAAAATTGGGGTTCACAATTTATTTTGCTAATTCTTTGTATATAGTCTGAAAACAGATTTACTAAGTATTGGGCAACAGCACAATGTATTGCACAACAGCAAGAAATCTTCAACTGAATATAAATTCAAATCATATAACCAATTTCAAGTTCTTTGACTACATTTATTCTGTGTCAGAAACCTATAATGTGTCAAATATTTAATTACAATCCAAATTCAGACCTATATCAAGCTTGAATATTGTGTCCATTTTTGCCCCAACTGTTCAGGGTTGGACCTCTGCGGTCGTATCCAGCTGCGGTCGGCAAAGCAGTTTATTTATCTTTGATTCTGATTTGACAATTTTCATAAAACTTAGTCTGAAATTATAAGGCCAAATTTTTTGAAATTTAAGAGGGAAATGATAAGACCATCACAACATCCTCTCAACAAATGATCCTCTTTTAACAAAATCAGGTTGCAAACATGTAGCATATGTTGCACAAAGATCTCATAGAATGACTTTGTTTAAATTTCTGTATTGCAAAAAAAGGTAATTGAAATTTTTTTGAGATACATTGCCTGAAAGTAAAGATTTCTGTAAAAAAATCGAAACACACCTTTTTCCATTATAATATAGATATTTAAGACTTGTTAGCAAATTTGAGCAATAGTGAAATAAATCATTTTTATTATCACCTGGATTGTAAAATTAAGTAGTGTATCAGACATCTAATTGTTTACTTTCATTCTTTTAGATACCACAACCAACTTTATGCAAGTAAAACAAGAAGCTTGTTCTTCAGAGCATCTTACTAACCAAGATCAGGAAGAAGAGAACCCAGATGATCCAGATGACGATGCTATATACTCTTGTGGAAAAATTGTCATGGATCATATAATCGATAAACTTTACTTGTCTACCATCAAAAATATTGGACAAAACAAAAAACCTGCTGCTAAAAAATCTCCACCAAAAGGAAGAAATGAAACCATTGATTCCTCTAATAAAGCATTTTTGTTGCCTCCATCACAAGGAAGGAAATCCTACCACACTAGTATTGCTGTTAAAAACCTTTTAGAATTCACTCGCAAGGCTGCTGCTCATGATGAGGCTAACTTAAAGCCACATGGACAGTCGGTAACACCAATGCAAGAACCAGGTACAAATACAGTGTCTGAAGCTAAGCAGAAATTAAAAGACTTCTGTTTGAAGAAAGAAGGTCGACCAAAAGTTGTTAGTGGAAATGAAAATTCTGGAGACAGTTTTGATGTCAAAGAATTTAAGAGAAAAAGATGCTATTCTGAAAGCTGTGCAGAATTGTACAAACATCAAGAGAAAAGGATCAAAATTGAATCTGATAGTTATAATGAAAATGGAGATGATACAAAATCATCCAGTCCATCTAATGGTGATGATTATCAACCAACAAGAAAGTCTCGTCGGCGTAATAGGGGACAGAGATACCAAGAGCTGATAAATGAAGGGATCATACAGCCATCTAAAGCCAGGATTGCAGCCATGAAAACCGAAGCAAACGTGAGGAATATAAGGTGAGTTTAGAAGTGTCAAGTTTAGATAAAAAGAGTAAACTGTTTAGTCAGACTGGAATTATTTGACAGGAATTAATTTATTCAAATGGTCAAAACACAGGTGCCACAATTTTAATCTCTTAACACTCATACACCTTAAAAATTCCTTGACTTGTTTTCAGAGATAATTCATATTATTTTATTGAGTTATAATAATTTGGAAAGATTTATTGTATGTTTAATTTAATGTTGTAATGGTTGGCCAAAAAAAAAATGCCAAGCTACTCCTAATAAACAAATTCACTTTTCACTTTTTAGGTCAAATTATAATAGTCAATGAAAATCAGAAATTCCATGCAAAAGTAGGATGGCCCAAATTAGATTTCTTTTAGCATGCAAAAGTCTGATAAATCAAACCAGATTTTTACATCAGGCCATAATCTTGCCAGCGAAATGACGATTTAAGTCGCCAAAGAATTTTGAAAATCGCTAAATCTAGCCGGCCGACTGACTTCATAGCGAAGTCAAATCGCTATCAAAATCGGTAAAAGGGAGACAACTTGTGATTGACAATTCTCACAGGTAAAAAAAATGGCGACTGACAAGGAAAATCGAGATTTTCGAAACGACCCAGGACTAATAGTAATACTGTCAACGATCAAATTAAATGAATACAACGGCGACTTTGAACATCATCGGATAGAACTTTCAAAACTATTCAAACGGAAAACTGACCGTCTGTTTAAGTTATCATTTTAACGATGATTTTCATCTCAGGATGTTGCGTAATCACTCAGCTGATTTGTTTTATTTTATAACTTACACGAGTCGATCAATTTTACTATTCGGTCGGTAAAAGGTGGGAATTAACGGTAGATTTATTATATTGATTGAATAAAAATTGAAATATAAAAGGTAGAAAGACTGCTGATGGATAATGTGGTTGCAAACGTACCAGGTTGTGATCAGCGGTGGATTTTTTTCTCACGACCATTTCGTTGATATGGATGATATTTTTAAAAACTGATAGAAATTAGCTCTTTGTCGGATAATTAATATGCGATTGAAAGATATTTTCATTTAAAGACTTACAATATTTAACGATAATCTCAATTTACAACTAACATAATGTCCTGGACATTATTGTTTTACAAAATAATGACAAGTGGTGATATAAATTAAATTCCTAGTCATGTGAAATTCATCAGGTAAACTGGGAGTTATATTTTTTCTGGACTTTAAAAAAATAAATTGAGGCAGATGCACATGAATTTAATGCATCATGCTGTAAATTCAGATATTATTGCGTGCATTTATTATTGGGATTTTTCAAGAATGGACAAAAATGCGAGATTAATTATTGCGATATCATAAAAATCTGCATACAGATATATGTTGCAGACATCAGAATGCGAGTTCTTATTTTTGCGATAGTCACCCAGTCGCATTATTCGCATTAATAAAAACCTCGCAATAATTTCTGAATTTACAGTAATCAATATTACTAGGCTACTCCGTCGTGTCCCAATCAACAAATTTTATTTAGAACACAATGGTATCAATAAATAAATAACAACTATATATTGTCAAAACCTTTGTATTAAGAACTTTCTATATATACATTGTGTACAATAACATATGAAAAAAACTGCAAGTATATCTTTTATTGAATATAAAACAATTTCCTTAGTGATAAGCATGAAAACACTATGCAATCGAAATGGAAATGGAATCTCACTTCTTCAAAAAATAGACCAATTCTCCCTTCTCTCTCTTGGAAGGAGAAGTCACTTCTCCCTCTTCAAAATCCTAGATTAGGCCCTGTTACATTGTGCAAAAGTTGATGGACCAAACCAAATTCCTAGTTAAGGTGCCTGGTTTCTTTGAAAAGATTTCTGTCAACCCATGGCTCTGAGAATGACTGGTTTCTTTGAACAGATTTCTGAAATTGAATTAGTTGCAAAAATTGAATTTTCTTGTTGATAATATGTAGCCTGATAGAAACTTTTCCAAGGGTGTCAGCAAAGAAGCAAAAGCAATCTACCAAACAAACCCAACATTTTCAATTTCTAGAAATACTTAAATAATTAAACCATGTAATTGTAGCTTTAAAGAATCATTCCTGAACAAGCGAGCTGAAGACATAGGAGATGAAGTGTTATCAGTTTACCCCAGACAGATACGCAAAAGAACCATGTCAGAATCAGAGAAAAATCGCACATTTTATGATGAGTCCAGTAGATATAGAACAGGGTATGATAGAAAATAAAGTGTCTACTATTTAGGTGTCCTTTTCAAATATTTAAAAAACTTGCCCAATATAAGATAAGATGTGTAATGGTAGTCAATGAGACAACTGTTTAACAGATTCCAAATGACATGGATATAAGTAACTATAGGTCACCATAAGGCTTTCAACAATGAGCAAGACATATACTGTATAGTCAGCTATAAAAGGCCACAAACATGACAAAATATGAAACAGTTCAAAAAAAAAAAAATCAAGTTTGATTTATGACAGATCAATAAATGTAGAACAGATATGACAGATAGCAATCAAACAGCAACCACTGTATTACAGACTTTGTACAGGCACATATGGGGTTAAACATGTTTGTGATCACTCAACTCTCTACTAACCTAGGACAGTGTTGTAACAGCTCAACATAAGAACAAAAAAAAATGTAAATGGCTTGACTCGTTAGATTGGCATGAAGCAACAAAAAATAAACTCAACTATCAGAAAGACAAATTACACAAGGGTCCAATCAAGACAGTTACTAAAAGCTAGCTCAAAGCAAATAACAAATAGGTAAATGAATCACGTCCTCTAAGACTAAAGTATCATTCAGTACACATCCAACAAATTTAGTGTAAAGACGCCAATTTATTGAATTTCATCTGTTTTTGTCCTCCAGTATTTTCACATGTTAATTACTATTTTTCAGTGATTTTGACCTGGAAGCCCATATCAAAACTTTGCCTGCATGTTCATTAGAGAAAGTAGTCAAACCAAAGAGAAATGTTGGAAAATGTTTGTCTGAGAGTGATTCTGGTAACCAAGCAATGGATGTATCATCATCACCAGGTATCGTCTGCTTGTCTCAGTATAATAAAAAAGTATAAGTGGAGAAATTTACTACAAATAAGTCATATTAAGTATACAAAAAAATAGAAGCAAAAAGCAATAAGGTATCAATGACAGAAAATGGCGGCACAATATTGAAACCTGCAACAACGGAATGACAATTGGTTAAAAATGTTCGTCAAATTTTAGTTCCCGTAATGTCCTCAGGTAAACACAAAAAAAATCTTTAATCTAGTAGAGCAAAAGAATAAAACCATGGAGTTGCAAAATGAAAGTAATCAGTAAAAAAAACAGTTAATAAATAAGTGATGGCAATATATTTTTAATCAACTTCATTTATGTTTGAAAAAAAAACAACCTTTCTTTTTGTAGAAAACTTTCTAGAGGTAAAACTGACAGTTCCGCCACACATAAAAGCCAAGCCAACAGATGATGGTGTTCCAGTTGTTGGGAGTAGGAAAAGAAAGGCTAGAAAACACTCCATAACACATCTACAGCCTGTCAAAGATGCTCCAAAAACTGGTAAGAAAGTCACTATTTAAGTCTGTAATATAAGGGAATTTCACTTAAAACATGTTGCTTACTCATATGTTCCAAGTTAGAAGAAAGCTAGGTGGAATTTATTAATTACCTGAAAGTTACTTAATTTTTTATGCCCCCGCCGTAGTGGAGGGGGCATTAAGTTTTACCCTTGTTCGTCTGTACGTACGTCCGTCTGTACGTACGTCCCAAAATTGGTTTCCGTTCTCTAACTTGAGTTTGCCTCAACCAAATCTTATGAAACTTATACACAATGCTTATACCACAAAACACAGATCGAGTTTGAATTTTGGTGGTGTCACTTTAACCGTTCTAGAGTTATGCCCCTTTAAAAATGGAAAAATTGCAAAATTTTTAGTTTCAGTTCTCTAACTTAAGTTTGCCTCAATCAAATGTTATGAAACTATACACAATGCTAATTACCACTAAATACAGATCAAGTTTGAATTTTGTTAGCCTCACTCTAACAATTCTAGAGTTATGCCCCTTTATAAATGGAAAAATTGCAAAAAAATATTTAGTTTCCGTTCTCTAACTTAAGTTTGCCTCAACCAAATGTAATGAAACTTATACACAATGCTTATTACCACAAAGCACAGATCAAGTTTGAATTTTGGTGGCGTCACTCAAACCGTTCTAGAGTAATGCCCCTTTATAAATGGAAAAATTGCAAAATATTTAGTTTCCGTTCTCTAACTTATGTTTGCCTCAACCAAATATTATGAGACTTACACACAATGCTTATTACCATAAAACTCAGATCAAGTTCTAATTTGGGTAGCGGCACTTTTACTGTTCTTCAGTTATGTCCTTTATAACTATATAATATGCAAGTGGGGGCATCATCTGTGTCCACGTGTGGACACAATCAACATTTATTTATAACTGATTTATTTGTTCCATTTATTTGTTGGAAAGGTATTACAGAAGAAATTGTAAACCGCTGCAATTTCCCGCTAGGATCACTTAGTTTATAAAGTTCCATTAATGTCAAAGAAATAAGCTGAAAAAATCTTTCTTCCGAAACAAATTCACTACACATAATGTCAAAATTCTTAAATATATTTCACCCGTTTCCAAAATGCTTCTCTGTGAAAGAATGACCTTATCAACAATATATTCAACAAATAATTGTAAATTTCAGATAAAACAACAACATTAGCAGGAGTGATCAAACAGACAAATGAACCTCTCATTGAAACACATGAATATAGTGATGTCAAGGGAGATAAATCTCCAGATGGAACTGAAGAAAGTATTATAAAGGGAGATAACTCTATTGATGATGTGAATGAGATGATTAGTTCAGTGTATAAAGACACAACAGATGTAGCCACTAGGAAAAATTGTCAAGGCTTAGACAATGAGAAAAATGAGATTTTAAATAAACAGTGTTGTATGCTTTTAGATAATACAGCAGATAAAATTCCGCAGCATTCAGACATTTTAATAGATTTGATGGGGGGTGTTTGTAATCAAAATTTTACAAAATTAAAAGAGTTAACTACAAAAGACACCAAGTCTCCTGAAGATTTTTTGTCTGTAACTGAAAGTTCCATGCATTCAAATAACTTACCTTCATTCATCAAAACTACATTCTCAGACCATGATGAAAATTCAAATGAAACAGATTATTGTAACTATAGCAACAACAGATCTTCATGTAGTTTAGAAGAAAAATATGTGATAACAAATAGGACTTCTGATAATTCATTATGTGGTAGTGAAGACAATGTTACCGTGGTAACAGCTGTTTCTGTTGCTCTTCCTGTAACAACAGAAGACAGTTCCCATGGTGATAATAGAATAGAAACACAAAATGTGCAAGTTTCTATGTCTACATGTGATAATCAAACTTCATCAGTTGCCATGACAACAATACAGCCATCTCTTACATGTTTATGTTGATAAAAAATGCTCATTGTTATTGTGTTCTTTGTATATCCTATGCAAACTGCAAGTTTTGCCTTCATTGTTAAGTAAATATTATTGGTGTTGTTTATCTATTGGTGCATAGAGTTTCCTATACTATATATTTAGTTATAACATGAATTTGTAGTACCATTGACATAAACACAAGTTTAACGTGAAATTGAAATGCACTTTGTACTAAATATGAACTGTTTTCTCTGTTATGTATTTTAAGTAGTAAATTTATGATAGCTTCTCATTTAATGAGCTTTTAACCTCCATCTTCCATCCAATAGTTTTAAATTCATATTTCCCCCTTTTACCAACTCAAATATATTTCTGTTTTAACTTGCATACATTTAGCCATTCACAAATCAATGATTGTTATAAAACTTGACAATATTTAAATTTGATCTTTTAGAGTTAAGATTGCATAAATCAAATTGAGCCCCGGGTGCATAGAAAATTATATAGATGATGCATGTAAAAAATGAATATTGTGCATTAAGGCAAAAAAAAAATTGTATGTTTAGGTTTCCTTGACTGTAGTTCAGAACTTTAAGGTTTGGTCACAAGCTAGAAAATATTTATGTCTTCAACAGATTAACCAGTTCCATAACAATACATATCACTTTACCAAAAAAAATCTCATTTGAAAACTGTCCATGAACAGTGATGATGATAAATACTTATAATACAGGTGCAATTAATGTTATTTTGATATAATTGGGTCAATATGTGCAATTTATTCAGTTAGGCAGTTATAGTAACATTTAATTGTCCATATGTAAACTTAGATTTGTGAGATGGCTCATTTTGAAGCTGGACTTTTTCACAGATGTGGTTACATTTTAGGGGTACCATGTTAGATTAAATTTTCTCTTCACACAATGAAATTCTATTGAATTCAGTTGTTTGCAAACATTTACTAAGTGTATAGCTTTTTACATCTTTATTCTTTGGTTCTCGATCTGCACTTCAAAACAGCACAAATGGTCATTAAAATAGCAAGATGTCCAATATCATTGCACAGAATTCTTTGTTTACCTAATATTATTGTGAACTTCACTTTAAGGCTAATTTTAGTCATGTAAGTAAAAACGCATTTGTAAGATAATGTTACTATTGTAAGATAACGTTACCATTGTAAGATAATGTTACCATTGTAAGATAATGTTACCATTGTAAGATAAGGTTACCATAATCATGTGATAATTACCTGGAGTAAGTACAGATGTGATGCTTTCTCCGGGATACTCAATTTTGTATGTTGTGCCATATTGGTGCCCATTATAATTTTACTTTTTTAAGGCATTTTATCAGTTGGGTGTTAAATATTGTGCGAAGTTGGAGTGACGTTCTTTGGGAAATGCATATATATTTATCTAATTTTAGATCAGGGGAGATAATTCTTAAGCATTCGTGAAAACCACAATTTGTGTCATAGTCTTTTTATTTTATCACAGTTTACATTATTTGTATTAGCAATTAAATGTTTTTATCTTTCATTGAAACCTAATGAGAGTATGAAGTTGGTGCTTATATTTATCCACTGGTGAACAGCATTCCAGAAACAACAGTCATGACAGTTCACTGTGCCAATCATTTATGTTTTGACTATTCATATTTTGTATTTTTATTTTACAAATTAAACAGGTATGAAAATGTAATATTGACAGTTTGACTGAATAATCATGATAGAAAATGAATTTATGCTTTATCCACATTATAGATGTTAACCAACTTTCTAACTTTTGGTCAATATTGAATATTGAGTCGTTACATAAAACATTTTTTTTCCAAAAATAATTTCGAAAATTGTCCTCATTTAAGGAATGACTGTAATATTTTTTCTGTCTATGATGAAATAACATCAAAAATGTGGTGCACACTGAATAACCCGCGTAGCGGGTTATTTTAGAGTGTGCACCACATTTTTCATGTTATTTCGAATAGACAGAAAAAATATTACAGTCATTTCTTATAATTTAATTCTAAATTCCATTTAAAACCGTAGTAAACCATGAAAAAACGTTGATGACGTTACGGTCACATGACAAAATTATGTCTATGAGCTGATAAACAAAACAACGTCAGCCAATCAGAAGACGCATTACATCCAAAATTAAATTATATAAATTTAAACCAAATTATTTTAGAAATAGTTTATGAACATTGTCTGTTCATTCTGTATACTAAGATGTTATTTTACCTAGACACTGTAGGTGCTTTTAGTTTCAATTACTGTTTTGTCTTGTATGTCAATGTATATACTGGATGGTCATTTGTAACTTCTTTCACTGAAAGTTGAGATGATTTAGAGTTCCGTAGAAACTATGATCTGATATTTATGTTGCTTTATTTTCCTCAACCAAACTATGATCTCAAAATCCTCACTTGTAATTCACTGTCAATCATTATTTAATATTCAAATACTATCTTTCTGTTTATTCACAAATCTATTTTTTTTAAAATTCTGCACATGTTTTTACATAATCTTATGATTAAAATTGTTTGTAAGTTATATTGAAATATTGAAATGTTCATGACTTACAAGTTCTTTTACTCGTAAGACTTTTTGTCAAAAGAGCTGTTGGACTGGGCTGCACTAGCATCAATTAAATTTGCATTAAATCTGATGTACTGGTATTTGTTTAAGAATGATTTGATGAAAGCTGAAAATTTAAATAACATTGATGTTAATTGACCCTTGTACAAACCAGCCCAGGTTATCAAAAGATTCATCTATTCTGAAAGTATGATGAAAACATCTATAAAAAAAACAAATATAAGTTTTATTTAATGATTAAAATATTTTTCTGTCCAAATGGTGTTAAATACTCAAACCCAAAAATACCTGAAACCATAGCAGAATTTGTTCAAGAGTCAACACAGGATGTTTTTAAGATGGCAGTTCTTTTATAGTGTGATCATAACTAATCTAGACCCTAGGTAATTTAGAACTTGACATTTTGTACAGACACTAATTAATCATTTGTTTAAGACTATTTTGTCCTGTATCTTTTTGTTGGGTTACTGTTTTATTGACATGTTTTATCAATATGCCTTACATGTACTCAGAATAATATATGCTATTGTTAATAAGTGTTTGGCATTTATTGACTTGTTTGCTTAATTGTTATAGTCATCCTGTTTAAGAAGGTCATCATTGGGACCAGAGAAAACTGACCATATAAGAGAGGTGACCTTTCAATTGTGGTTCAAAATGTATAGGTATTATTATAGCAGAACAAAATGAGGGTTTTCTTGATGACAAGACAGGTTTTTTGTGTGATAGAGCGCTGACCTTTATAACAGGTTTGACTAATTTCACACAAGTCAAAATATTTTTGATTTGATCGTATAATAAATACTGTAGAACTTTAATTTTCAAACACCTAAGGGACCACCAGCAACTGTTGTACTAATAGATATTTTACCATTAGTAAGGATTATTATCCTTTATACACACATGAAAGAAAATGATTGAAATTTGTGATGACCTGATATAAATGCCCTGAAAAATCAACTGGTTCATTTTATTTAGTGTTTATGGAAAATTCAAATAAAAGACCACAGACAAAAAAAAATTGGAATTATGCTAATTTTTAAAGGTCACTGGAGGGAAGTCTAAAACTATTACAAAATTAATAGTGAAAAATACTAGACTGATTAATATGAGAAGAATTGATTCTGAAAAGATGTAGAATAAAATCCTCTAAATCATAGTATATTTTTCTGAATCCAGAGTAACTGTGATATTAGTTTACATTTTGTTGTGGTTTCTGGAATCTACACACTAATGTAAAATATTTTGTCAAATATACACTATTAAATAAAATTAGTGATTTCAGTTGTTAATCATGTTCATATTGAACTTTAACAGACACAATGCACTGGTAATTTTAAAATAATACAAATTTTTATTTATAAGTTTGATGAAGAAAACTGTTATTTAATGTTATGGAGTAGAGTTGTGATTTATTGATGAACTGTACATGAAAGATTCAAAATCTATAAACAATAAATTAGATTTAGTCTGAAATTGTTCTTTGTTTCCCTGCTGCTGCCTGTGCACTAATGTCAATGAGCTCTTTGTTTCCCTGCTGCCTGTGCACTAATGTCACTGAAATCTTATTAAACAAATGAGATTGGTTTATAGAAAGACCATATAAAAACCTAGACAATAGTTCCTTTGCCTGAGAAGACCCATTTTAATTGTTACAATTATTCAAATTTGATTTTTAACTCTCCTTATTTGGAAAGTGGCAAAACATGCAACTGACCATTTAAAGCTTGAGATTGAGGCATTTCTTGACCAGTGTGATTATCTATTCATATCTTTTGTATTAGTTGTTTGTTGTCTAGACGAAGTTAACCGCCTTGTGGTCTCATGTTTGCCTCAAGGTTTTGAACCCCAGTCGGGTCAAACCAAAGACTGTAAATGGTATTTGCTGCTTCTCCGCTATGCACGCTACATTAAGGAGTAAGAGGAAAGACTAGTGGGCTCGGCCTTAGAATAATGTTTCCCGTTAGGGTAACACGTCTTTCTGTGGATTGTTAACTTGTGAACTAGCACGTTAAAAAAACAGCTCAGCATTTTTGGTCAACTACAGAGCAGGGTTCATATTCATACAACACTAACATGTTCTTGTCCTGAATATGCATTTAATTTGCCACTGGATGTTATCCAGCCATCCATCTAGATGAAAGTTATGATCTGAATCAGGTTTGATAGATATAGGATAGCACCCAGTAAATCCACTGAAGAAAGGCAACTCAATCTGAGCTTAACTAGTGAGCACTCTGGGATAACATATTGATGTTTATACAACAAATATCACAAAATAAATAGACTTGAAAAGAAATATTTTTTATAAAACATACAAATTTAATAACCTGGAATTGTAACAGACTGCTTCTTTATGAATGGATTTTTCAAGGAAGCAAGGAATGAAAATATCATCCAGCCTAATAGTATGGTTTACAAGAAACAATGGGAACAATAACAATGTACCTGTGAGGTTCAATGGACCGTTTGTACTTGTAAATACTGTTGCTGAAGATAAGTCATACACACATTGACATAGTACATGTACAAAGAATAGTTCATATCCATGTATTGCATGAATTTTATCCTAAGGTTGTTTCATGCAACTAGTTCGTTATTAAACATTTCTCTGTTTCTTACATAGAATTTTTATAGAAGTTTTCTGATGATTCTAGTTCAAAATTGAGATGGACAAGAGTGCACACACTGAAATGTTTTCTTGCTTTTCTAATTATAATTGAATTTTATATTGGAAGAATTTATGATGGGGGGGTTTATAAACTTAAATGATCCATGAAAATAAGGTCAAGGTCAGATGAACCCTGACATTGACAGACATTTACACCTTGCAATCATTCCATACACCAAACATAGTTACCTATTGCTTGTAGTATCCAAAAAAGGACATTATAAAGACAAAAGTGCACACGCTGAAATGTCTCACCTGCTTTACTGACCATGATTGATTTGATTTTGAAAGTTTTAAAATAAATGTTTTCCTACAAGTATCACATAACCTTAACATTATCAATGATCCATGACAATAAGGTCAAGTTCTGATAATCCAGACAGACATGTACACCATACAAACCATTCAACTTAACATTGACCAATGAACCATGAACATGATGTCAAGGTCAGATGATACATGACAGACAGACATGTGCATCTTCCTATCATTCCATACACCAAGTACAGTTGACCTATTACTTAGAGCATTTGAGAAGAGAACCAAATTATAGAAACTTAACTTTAACCAATGAACCGTGAAAATGAGGTCAAGGACAAATGATACCTGCCAGAGTGACATGTACACCTTACAATCATTCTGTATACCAAATAAAATATAGTTGACCTATTGCTTATAGTAATTGAAAAACAGACCAAAACACAAAAAAAACTTTACATTGACCAATGAACCATGGAAATGAGGACATGGTCAGATGAAACCTGTAAGCCTGACATGTACCCCTTACAATCATTCCATATACCACATATAGCTGATATCTGAGAAACTGACCTAACCTTGTAACTTTAATCTTGCTCACTGATCAATGAAATGAGGACGAGGTCAGGTGAACCCTGTCTGACAGACATGTAGACATGGCAAAGAATCCATATACCAAATATAGTTATCCTATTACTCATAATAAGTGAGAATTTCACCAGACCAAAAAACTAACAAAAATTTCAAGCAGTTGCTGAACCATGAAAATGAGGTTAAGGGTAATGGAAACTTCATAACATAAGGTATCTGCATACAAGGTGTGAAGCATCCAGGTCTTCTACTTTTGAAATATAAAGCTTTATACAAATAGATTACTCAGCCGCTGACTATTCAAATGAGGCAACGATTTTTGTGCTTTGTATAGAATATTACCATGAAATACTATAAGATGTCTCAACATTGATTCATATTTACAAATGATGTCCTTAATTGTAGTGATTATAAAATTTAGTAAAGTTTTGACAAGTTTGTGATAACGAGAACCCTGGTTCAATTTTTTTCAGTAATACATACAGGTAGATTTTGTTTGTTAAAATCAAATACATTGTCCATACATGAACTTCATCTAACCAAACCAAAAATGAGGTCAAGGACAATGGACATATGCCAGATAGTAACTTCAGAACATAAGGTATCTGCATACATTCTGAAATATATAACTTTTTACAAATAGTTTATGACATTACTGCTGCTAGATTAGCGTCCCCACGTCTCACATTGTTGACATCAGTCAAAGAGAGACAAAAATATTGGATCCTCAATTTTTTCATACTACTGTTTTACTTAGACAACAAATTAAAAAAATATTGAATCCTCAATTTGTTCATACTCCTGTTCTACTTAGACAACAAATTCAAAGGGTCAATCTACAACCCTGACCTATACATGACATCTGAAGCATGACCTGAACACTTGATGATGATGATGGATGTCTGCTTAACGTCCTGTGGCAAATTAATATGTATCTTCAGGAAAAGTACATGTTAATGTAATATGAATATTTACCCTGCTTTGTACTAGACCGACACGCTGAGCAGGATTTTTTAACGTGCTAGCTCACAAGGTAACAGTCCGCAAGAAGACATGTCACCTTATAAGGACACATTATTCGGACTCTGAGCCGACTTGTCTTTGCTCTTACTCCTTAATGCCGCGTGCTTAGTGGAGAAGCAGCAAATACCAATTTAAAAATGTTTGGTTAGACCCGGCCGGGGTTTGAACCCACGACCTCCCACACTCAAGGCAAACACGCTACCATGAGACCAATGAGGCTGTGAACACTTGATATCTTTCTTCTGTGAGTGTTTTTTTAATGAATACTTCATTTATTGATATATTGCATCTAATTCACATCAGGGCCATTGAATTCATTCTGGCCTTGAACAATAATCTCTTGTTTATTAGGAGTTCCAAATTCAATACTAATTGCATGTTTCTAAATTTGACTTGTGCCTTTGAGTTGTACAATTTCAAATATAAGATGGCTAAGACATGGACAGACAATCTACTTACTAGAGCGTCCACTGATTATGATAACCAGAAACATATAGACAATAGTCTATGTGGATATGAGGTAACAGACAATCTACTTACTACAGGGCTTCCATTGATTATAATAACCAGAAATATATTGACAACAGTCCATGTGGATATGAGGTAACAGACAATCTACTTACTACAGAGCTTCCACTGATTATAATAACCAGAAACATATAGACAATAGTCCATGTGGATATGAGGTAACAATCTACTTACTACAGGGCTTCCACTGATTATAATAACCAGAAACATATAGACAACAGTCCATGTGGATATGAGGTAACAATCTACTTACTACAGGGCTTCCACTGATTATAATAACCAGAAACATATAGACAACAGTCCATGTGGATATGAGGTAACAGACAATCTACTTACTACAGAGCTTCCACTGATTATAATAACCAGAAACATATAGACAACAGTCCATGTGGATATGAGGTAACAGACAATCTACTTACTACAGGGCTTTCACTGATTATAATAACCAGAAACATATAGACAATAGTCCATGTGGACATGAGGTAACAGACAACCTACTTACTACAGAGCTTCCACTGATTATAATAACCAGAAACATATAGACAACAGTCCATGTGGACATGAGGTAGCAGACAATCTACTTACTACAGAGCTTCCACTGATTATAATAACCAGAAACATATAGACAGCAGTCCATGTGGACATGAGGTAACAGACAATCTACTTACTACAGGGCTTCCACTGATTATAATAACCAGAAACATATAGACAACAGTCCATGTGGATATGAGGTAACAGACAATCTACTTACTACAGGGCTTCCACTGATTATAATAACCAGAAACATATAGACAACAGTCCATGTGGATATGAGGTAACAGACAATCTACTTACTACAGGGCTTCCACTGATTATAATAACCAGAAACATATAGACAACAGTCCATGTGGATATGAGGTAACAGACAATCTACTTACTACAGAGCTTCCGCTGATTATAATAACCAGAAACATATAGACAATAGTCAATGTGGATATGAGGTAACAGACAAACTCATTCATTATGAAAGACTATTTTATTTATAACTGCCCTATAAATGCAGCTTGTTTATTTTTCATAGGAAATACATGTAAGCAATAACAAATAAATTAATCAAAACAAATAGGGACTTATCAATAAATCATATGAAGCCTGAGTGATAAACAAAAGGTTTATTATAACTGAGCTACAACCTGGTCTGTCCAATATTGATTCAAGTTTACAAAGGATTAAACTCAGTCTTTACAGTGTTTTTAATTAATCTACTATTGAATTTTACTTTGATATGTGATATCAACTTTGTTGTTACAGTGAATCTATTAAAAAAACTGCACATTTGTAAAACATTAACAGACAGAAATTTGGGTGTCATAAACATTCTTATGAACCAATATTAAAACAACCTAATAATTAAATAATAAAAGGTTGAGCAAATAAATTAAGCTTGAATACAATTCTTTTTCTTTACTTTGATCAATAATTTAACAGTATCATTACAAACAACCTATGTATTAAACATGACAATATGTCTAAACTGTAATGTAGATAATACACACATATAAAACATCAACTCTCAATGTAACATAGTACATGAATTATATAACAATATGAATACACAAGTTAACTGACATTTTCTGCTATGGGTGACACTCAATTCCTAGTCAACATCAGTATGATGTATTTTAAGTTTGTCAATTTTTTCCTCCATCTTAAAATTTTCAAATTATCTGAGTTTCACTTAAAACTTTTTTCTATTTCAGCCATATTTATTTCATTTTAAATTTAACTGTTTTCAACCAAAATACACCTGATCTGTTGTTAAAAAATATAATTAGTGTTTTTCATCTCTGTGTCTTTAGACAGAAGTACTGAATTTTATATCAAATGTCATTGGATCTAGAGAAGAAACTTAAGCTTGTTACTATTACTAGTATTCATGTTAGGTCTGATTAGAGCCACATAGAATCTTGCTATCCTTCCACAAAATCAGAGGGAGAAAGAGAAATGTCTATGTTGATTTTCACTAAAATTTAATAAATCAAACATGAAATCGAAGGAAAATAGTGGAATAGGAAAGGATTGAGAATCTAAAAAGATTATCTTATCTAGCCTTTCTTATGAACATTGCTCAAATACATAAAATTCAAAGAATCATTTAATTAAGTACAAGATTTCTATAAAGATGTGTAATTTAGTGATTGTCTACAATAGAAGATCTGAGCAAGTTCATAGCAAGAAATGTTGCTTTCCAATATTTTTTTATCAAATTTTGGAAACTATCCATATGAAATTTTTAGCCTTGAATTATTTGTTAATATGCCTACATTAAATGTTTGTTAAAACATATCTAACTTAGAGAAATGGCTTGATAAAATTTAGTATAACATGCTTGATATAATCAATATCAATAAAGGGCAAGAAATAAAAACATCCCTAACAAGCAACAACAGTGTATAAATTGTTAACAAATCGCACCTTCTACTAGGATGGGCATTATAATATCTTCACCGCAGGGAATAATAATTACACACCCTCTCCTGGGTTGGGTATAATAAATATATGGTATTTACATTTTCTACAATACTAACTGTACATATCACAGGCTTGGTGTCACAATCAAATTCAAATGATAAAAATGTCCATTCAAAATAACGTTGGTTTCTCGTTTAATGTGAGGTTTATATCAATGTGACAGCAACCCAAAAATACAATAAAAACCTCTAGAAGTCAACCAAAGGCAATTATCTACATATCAAACTGTTAAAACTGGTATCCAGAAATGTGGAGTAAATTCAAAAGCCTATCAAGGTTTGCCAAAACCAAATTCCCTTAAGAACCAAATAAATTGCAATATTATCACTAACAAGAATCCTAACTTCAAAAGGACAAACGCACCAACATGAAATGGGGTTAAAATGTTTTTCGTATACTTAACACTCACCCTTTTTATTTAGCAACATTTTTTTTAAAACTTTGGTATTGTTTAATAAGATTTTCGTCCTGTTGGATTGAATTGCAATTTCTGATTTTTGAAAAACATTCACCAGGGTTTTACACTTTTACTGTTTGTATTGATTTTTCTATTGTAATAGTTATAACTTATGATCACTTATCTAATTGCATAATTTGTACATGAAAAAAATATTGAGAAACAAAACATTATTTTTGAATGGCCTTATGACAACAAAATTAACTTCATATAGAAGAGCACTATCATCTGGAAATGGCTAAATCAGAAATTCTATACAGATCTTTTCTCTTTTTTCAATAAATTTTCATTTAAAACTGGGAATACTTCTATTGTCAACTTGGATTTTGGACCCAGAAAGCAAACTTTTCTTTACAAAACATTTTATGGACTTATATTCACCCTTGTTTATACTTTGTGAAGTCTTGGTTAACTTTTGCCATATTTGTAGGAAGGATTATATCTCTCTTCCATTGTAGATATTTTTATTATAAATGTATGACTTACATCAAAAGATGTTATTTTTTTATTAATTCTAAGAAAATATGTATTTATTGATGAATAAAATATAAAACAGTTTTGGAAATATAACTGATAAATGTAATGTAAAAAAAAAACACTTGTTGGGGCAACAACAAAAATGTAAAAAGTTCACTACATAAAACTTTCCATGGTAAATATAATAATTGTTTAAATATATACAATGTAACATGATTAGAATGCATAGTATAATATCTCCTGATAACAATGGTAAAATGCTGTAATTAAAGGGACATCTCAAAATATCATCATTTCTTCTTATTTGGTGTTCATCAATGTTAGGTTTAATCCTTACATCAGATATATATTGTCTGCAAGATGTTTAGGACTTTTCCAAGTTGATTATTTAGTATATAATTTTTTGTTTGTTGAATCTTGAAATTGAAAATTTTCTTTTAAACCAAAAACCATTCAGTAACACTGTTTTTTTCAAATGGGTAATTTTGTTTTAATCAAGAGAAATTCAGTTTATTTTAGGTGTTACTGTTTAAACAAAACTTGCTCAGTCATAACTCTTGCAAAATAAATATTGGATAAAGTTTCCTGAATCAAGCTGTTTCCACTGAGCAATAGTAATTTCGACACTTAAAATTGTACAGACACCTAATCTGTTGGACAGGATAAATGAATGGTACGAATATGATGACATTTAAAGAGGTCACTGAGTAACAATTAGCTCATTGGTAAGTGACTCTCGGCTCATTAATAAAGACAATTACTATTTGTTCATGAACAACATTAAATAGATATTGATCTCATGTATACCTCATAACATATAAAATTATTAAATGATAAAAAACAAATATGTAGAAAGATAATATAACAGTCAAGACCTTTCACAATATCAAAGCTGCCCAAACACTTCACACAAGATTTTACACAGCCAGGACAGTCAAACTCAGTTATCAACATTCAAACTTCTAAATAATCTTTGACTACATTAATTGCTTTCTTTGACAACACTGAAAGTTCGTTGTAGTCAATGTTTGGCCATTATCTGAGTTTTATTCTACAATCATACAGCTACTTTTTTCAGATTAAAGTTTAAATACAATAATTCAGTCACTGCACTTTACAATAATTTGTTTACAAACACAAAGCAATTAAAAGTAAAGATGCCATGTTAAGTATATTTGATCCCAGTAAGTAATATTCTGTTGTCAAAACAAAACATTCAAATAATCATTTAAAAGCTCACAAATTTACCAAAAATATTAGAGTATTGTTCACATGTGGCTCGGATTTCATGTAAAATATCTGAGACTGCTTTAGAAATTGAGACTTTATTTGTATGTATAAAATGAACACATTTATTCCTTCACTGCAAATTTACACATTTACTCCTTCACTGTAAGTTAACAACCATGTACAACCTGATTACAAATCACAACTCTATATAACCATTCACTTCTTAACAGGTATATATTGATATATCATTCTTACCCATTTCGTTATTTACATGTAAGAGGTATATTAATAATTCAAGCAATAAACATAAAACAATAACATGCATAAATGATAAACAAAGTTTTATAGTGTACTACTAAATATTAACATTCACATTCATTTCATTTGTTAATACTTTTTGAGTTAAGCTTTCTAGCGTATGTGGTTTCAAACCAACCATGGTCTCTTTTTACATTCCTATTTGACAATTATTCCCAGCTTTTTGTCTTACTGTTATCCAAAGTCTGGGTCTCCTACACCAAACCACAACTTAAACATATCTTGTACTTAAACCACTAGCTAAATATATAGTTTGTGACAAAAATTTTCATAAATTCTAAGACCTGAAAACTGAAACATCTATTTTGATTCATTGAATCCTCTGAAAATTAGAAACGCATCTATGAGGCAATTTCAACGTTTCTCATACATTTTAGTCTGATTGAGTTACAGGAGCCTACCAATAAATGCAATATCAAAGTTTGATTCCTGTGTTTACATGGAAAAGGCTTCAGAAAATTGCAACATAACATTAGTACTGAAAGATCGTGTAACATTATAAAATGAATATAAACCAATAGAGTCTGAGTTTTATATATTCTGATTTAAAAAAATGTTTAATACCAACATTCTCAATGTCATAACAATTATTTATGGTTTATATTTATGTAAACTGTAATAAGGTGAACTCACCAGATGATTTTACATTTCTGGATTTAGATTTTTATGATTCTCTTTTAAAGAGGTCATACTCAGAGAAAAAAAAAACCTGATTCTGTTTTCGAAACAATACATAATTCTTCTAGTGTCTTTACTAATTTTTCTTTGTTTTCCTCTGTTAACCCATCATTTCACTCTATGCTATAATCTAGACGACCTACTTGAAAGTTCATAGAATACTAAATATGCTTCTGACGATACTGTACTATGCATTGAAGTTGATGATACCCTGAAATTCATCAATTTATAGTAAATATATTACAAATATAAGTTATATTTAAATAACAAATGAAACTATGGATGACAAGAATGATAACTGAATAATAGAGAGAATACTGATTATTATCTGGTAATGGACAACTTTCAGACACAACATGCCACTATCAATAGATCATTCAGAATCTGGTCAGGCTATAAATCGTCACCAGACACTGTTAATTATGTGGTTTGGCCTTATCTACTTTTTATTTGATAAGAATGATAACTGTTGTCTTCCTAAATTTCAAATAATGAAACTTAAACAATCCTTATACATACATTTACTTTTTTCAAGAATAAATCCATTATATTTAATTCTTTGTATACCATCTTTAGGGTACATCACTTTCTTAATGTGAAATCACTTATCAATAATACATGGGTACCAATAAACAAAACTGAAACCATTTTTCAATTATCGAAAATTTCATGGCTTCAAAATGACTTCTATCATACATTTTTTTTGCATCTTGTCTACTGGTTATCCTTAAAGAGGAACCAGCCGCCATTTTAAGCATGTTTACAGGAAACTACCTGGCCTACTGTTACCTACCTGTTATCATTAAATAGGAACCAGTCTCCACTATAAGGATGTTTACAGGAAGCCGTATAATGACCAGAATGTACACTGCCTGAATGGTTACTGACTGCATATAAGTTGTATATAATTTTGCTATTTCCTTCAAAATAAAACACATTTCTTATCATTATCTATTTACCATGATAAACAGTCTGATAAAAATCTATAGACTTCATAGGGTATTGCAAAAATCTATGCAAATTCAGATTTAAAAAATTTATTGTTTAATTATTAATTTATAAATTGATTTAATGTTCAGTGTTTGGATGATGGAATAAAAAAGATTAATTTTACTTTTAATTTGAATTTCTGTTTTTCATTAGTATTGTGGCTTTTGATAAGAGGTGTAGACATATGAATAAAGAAAGGAAAAATGTACTTCTTGTTTTGTTGGGATGATCCTAATCAAAATATTTTGCATGGCAGGTTATTTTGCATGACTAAAGTTTAAGTTTACCTTTTTCTGATGAGTATTCTGTGACATCCAAACTGTCTGGGAACTCGACTCGTGTAGACACTTTCTGACTGTATCGGCCCTGACTGAACCGTTTGAAATGAATCACCAAGATCTGGGGAAACTTTTGCACTGCAAAACTCTTCGAACAAGCACTTTTTCTTTTACATTTTGAGCATGTCTAAAAAGAGAAAAGGTATTCTTAGTCAATAAAAAAAGATGAGTAAAACAGCACACTGAGTTATATGCTGTATAAAAATTAAGAAGAAAAGTCTTAACATAACAGTTTATTTTAGACAGGTTTCTGGTTGAATTTCATTTTTCACTGTAAAGATCAATATATAGCTTGATAACAAATGTATGACCATATTAAAGTTATTCTTTTCTTTATAGATGGAATATTTCCATAAAATCTAAATACAAGAATAACCTATTTTCATAATTTTTTTCTTCAATTTTTTGGTTTGAAATAAACATTATTTTTCAAATATATAAATATCTAAATAAATATATGGTAAAATAAATGAATACATACTGGTCTCTCATCATGATCTAGTTCCTCTTCCTTCATAAATAAATTGATACAACTCTGTAATGTCACGTCTGATCTACCCTGAATAATATTTATCGTTGACACATGTACATAAGGAATTACTTAAGCAACAAATGATATCAATGACTATCGTTATTATAGGGTAAATGAGAAGCTAAAAGAAGAATACCATGCATTTTCATACTGTACACATAAACTGCATGGAAGAGATTTTAATCTATTTATATTAAAAGGGCTTTTCCCAGGGGGAAATGTAGGAGGAGGGATGAGTGTTGGTACTTTATCAAGATCTACCAGCCTTTCCATTTTATACAAAAATCTAGTAAATGCATATTGTGAAAACAGTTCTGAACCCCCACCATCAGTGTATAATCATAAAATGTGCCCCCTCCCCCCACCATCACCTTACATAATTTTTCAGGAATAGCTCTGATGAAATACAGGTAACATCTTATTTTGGGCACAGGACATTTTAGCCAAAAATTTAAAACTATTTGGGGATATTTGAGCATAGACATTATAGCCTATTTTAGCACCGAATTATTCCGTTCACCTGTATTTTTGATAGCCCATTTTAGCGAACACATACATGGTTGAAAAATATTCACCATACTAAACCCATGAACAATAAAATATTCTGGCAAAATGTTAATTGTTTGCATTTAAAATTTTGTTAAACATGGAAATAAATGTTGAAACAAACAGGAAATAAAGGTGCAATGTGTGATTGTTTTTCTGGATAATATCTTCAAATTACAAACAAAAACATATATTAATATAAATAGTATCGATGAATCTGCATCTCAATCTAAAGAAGATAAAGAAAACAAGTTCTATCAGTACTGTATAAGGGGGTATATGTACGTTCACTGGGATATAAATTCCTAGCTAGAATGGACTTGTTCCTTTGAGCTACCTTTTAAGACATTTAGCACTGTATTTTAATAGGCATTATATTTTTTATGTTGTGCTGTCTTGATATATTAATTTATTATTCAACTATGAATTAGTCGCTAAAATAGGCATAGCTAATTTCACTTTTCGCTAAAATGGGTTATACATTAGCTCTAAAACGAACCAAGATACAGATTATGAAGCTTTAGACATTCTGATAGATAATGCTGTAAGCTACCTTTGGTATGGATACAGACAGCTTCCAATAAAATGCTCCGCTGGGGCACAGCTTGATATGACCGCAGAGGTCGAACCCTGAACAGTTGGGGCAAGTATAGACACAACATTCAAGCTTGACACAGCATAGGATTCTGACACAAAATGAAAGTGGTCTAAGAACTTAAAATTTTTTAATTTACCTTTTCAAACCATATCATTATTATTTGCTTTTATATATAAATCAGAAATAACCAATTTAAAATGGAAAATTTTAAAGAAAAAAAAAGGAAAAAAAAAGGAAAAAAAACTCCCCCCCCAAATTTTTTGAACCCCCTTATGATTCATCACCCCAAACTCAATCCCAGCCTTCCCTTTGTGGTATGGTACCTTGCAGTACAATTTCAGAGAGATCCATACACTTGAACACAAGTTATTGTCTGGAAACTAGAAAAATGCTTGTTTTTTGGCCCCTTTTTGGCCCCAAATTCCTAAACATTTAGGGCAATTACCCCCAAACTCAAACCCAGCTTTCCCTTTGTGATATGGAACCTTGCAGTACAATTTCATAAAGATCCATACACTTACACACAAGTTATTGTCCTGAAACTAGATAAACTTGTTTTTTTGCCCTTTTATGGCCCCTCATTACTAATATTTTGAGGGAATTACCCCCAAAATCAATCCCAGCATTCCCTTTGTGGTATGGTACCTTGCAGTACAATTTCAGAGAGATCCATACACTTGAACACAAGTTATTGTCTGGAAACTAGAAAAATGTTTGTTTTTTTCCCCTTTTCGGCCACTAATTCCTAAAATTTAGAGGCAATTACCTCCAAAATCAATCCCAGCATTCCCTTTGTAATATGGAACCTTGTAATACAATGTCAGAGAGATCCCTAGACTAACACACAAGTTATTGTCATGAAACTATAAAAATGCTTGTTTTTTGCCCCTTTTTGCCCCCTAATTCCTAAAATTTGGAGGCAATTACCCCAAAATCAATCCCAGCATTCCCTTTGTGATATGGAACCTTGTGGTACAATGTCAGAGAGATCCATACACTTACACACAAGTTATGTCTGGAAGTTACAAAAATGCTTATTTTTGGCCCCTAATTCCTTAACTGTTGGTACCATAACCCCCAAAATCAATCCCCACCTTCCTTTAGTGGTATTGAACCTTATGGTAAAATTTCATTGAGATCCATTCACTTAAACTAAAGTTAGAGTGCGAAAACTAATGTGTCTTCGGACGACGACGCCAACGTCATACCAATATACGACCACAAAATTTTTTTTGCGGTCGTATAAAAAGGAGAGTGAAATGTGGACTAATGACTCACCTTTGGTATGGGCACAGAAAGATCCCAAAAAGGATCAAAAGTTGTTGACTTGTGACCACAATCATGGTAGTTCAGAGTACTTCTCAACTGACCAACAAAAATATCTGTTAAATAAAAAATGCACATATAATGGACTGCAAAGGAAACAGCTTGTATAATACTTCATAGTAAATTTATGCTTTAATTCAAAGAAATGATCGATTTCAACTTTCATTTTAAGACAAATGATAGCTTATAACCTGACTCAGTGGATAAAAAAAAGGAAATTCTAGTGCAGATGATGCAAACAGATAAAAATAGGATGCTGGACAATTCAGGAAATAACCATCCTCAAATAAAGAAATATAATACTTTTACTGCTTTCACTCGAGAATATAATAGATAATACAAGTAAATATGTGGACAATGAGTACAATTCCAGACAAACAGCCTGCAATATAAGGCAGATAATTGACACCAAATACTGTACCTACCATTTAAATCAGAATGATGCCTCAACATGATCATAAATTCAGGACTTAAATTAGACATCAGTAAACAAATTTTGCTTTTAACATGTCAAATATGTATTACAAAACTTATAATTTTTTAACTATTGGAACATACCTATATCAGTCACATGATACTAGAAAATGCTCTTAATCTCCCAATCAAAATAAAGTATACGTGCTATCAAATTATGTATATATAAAATGATACTAACCAACAATATGACTATTGTCATAAGTTAAGTAAACTCTCCAGTATTCTTGACCTTTATCTTTGTCCCTGTAAATTAAAATATAAATAAAATGTTAAAAGGTTAGCAGATGATTTTATATAATAGTAAAATCATATATACAATAACAGTCATGCCAAAATCAGTTCCTACCTTAATATAAAACTTTATTCAATTGGCTGTAATATGGAAATAATTGATTGTTAGTTGCCTTATATCCAGTGGCAAATATCTTCATTATTCATATTCAGGATAAAGGCATTTAATAAGAAAAACAAAGTAAGAAATATTGTGACAGCTTGATTTTTTCTCTAATGCTGTCTCTCATATCAAAATTTTTACTGATGTTATTGTGCAATTTATAAATCTTATGTAGGTTCAGTCCTTCTTCATGTTTATACAGAAGGTATAAACTACAGTTATACATATAGGGATGTTACCCTAGATTACTTTTCCACTTATAACCATTTCTAATCAACATCACTATGTCATTGCAGTAAGATAAAATTTGTTTACAAATAAATAATAAATCAATGCAGATGGGCATTTTAAGAAATTTACTGTGGAAAATCTTCATCTTTAATTGTGACAGGTTTTGGTTTCTTTGTGACACGATTTACATCTTCATGAAGTCCTTCTAACAGGTATCGTAGGAATTCTTGAGCATCTTGTTGGCTAAAAGAATAAATTGTAATCTTTACAGACCAAATTAATAAAATATAATGAAAGTGTCTTTATTTTATGACGCATTGATAATTGTTGTTGATGTGGAAATATATTTATCAAATAAATGGCAGGTATCTTAAGAGCATAAAAATTGTTCAGTAAAAGTATTTTTTTTTCTAGCTGTTAATGTTACTTTATAATATAAAAAAAAGCAGATGTGGTAGATTGCCAATGAGACAACTCGCCTTAAGAGACCAAATGACACAGATATTAACAACTATAGGTCACTGTACGGCCTTTAACAATGAGCAAAGCCATTACCGCATAGTCAGCTATAAAAGGCCCCGAAATGACAAATGTAAAACAATTCAAACGAGAAAACTAACTGCCTAATTTATGTACAAAATAATGAAACTGAAAGAAAAAAAAATATGTTAGTGTACACAGCAAGAAACTACAACCACAGAATTACAGGCTCCTGACTTGGGACAGGCACATACAGAATGTGGCGGGGTTAAACTAGTTTGCAGGTGCCAACCCTCTCCCTTACCTGGAACAGTGGTGTAAAAGTACAACATAAGAAAAAACTATAATAAAATGCTTCGCTGAGTGAAGCTGGATACGACCGCAGAGGTCCAACCCTGAACAGTTGGGGCGAAAATGGACACAATATTCGTGCTTGATACCGTTCTGAATTTGGATTGTAATTAAATATTTGACACATAATAGGTATCTGACACCGAATAACTGTAGTCAAAGAACTTAGAATTGGTTATAAGATTTGAATTTATATTAATTTTTTTTGCTTTTGTGCATTAATACACTATGCTGTTGCAAATTGACCCCCCCCCCCCCCCACCCTCAACAAAGAAATAAAAATTGACCCCCCCCCTTTTTTTTGCTTTTGTGAAATACACTATGTTGTTGCGTATTGACCCCCCCTAAAAAAAAAAAATTAGAAGAAATTTTCTTTTAAATTTCTGAAATCTGCAATGAAAACAAAATTCCCCCCAATTTATTTTTTACCTCCCTCCTCCCCCCCCCCCCCTTTTCCAAAAAAAAAATTCTTTCCCTCAAGTTTTGGTCATAATCTCAATTCAAATTTCCAATGGAGTTTGCAACCATAATTACCAATTTAAATATATCATAAAATTCTTAAATAGATAATTTAAAAGCAGTGTAAGGGAGGTAATCCAACATTGTACAATTTTGTTTTTGGATTACCTCCCTTACACTGCTTTTAAATTGTCCATTAACAAGGAAACCCTTTTCCCTTTTTTGCCCCTAATTCCTAAACAGTTTGAGCCATAACCCCCCAAAGCTAATCCTAACCATCCCTTAGTGGTATGGAAACTTGTGGTATAATTTCAGAGAGATCCATACACTTAAACACAAGTTATAGTCTGGAAGTTACAAAAATGCTTATTTTTAGCCCCTTTTTGGCCTCTTATTCCTTAACTGTTGGTACCATAACCCCCAAAATCAATCCCAACCTTCCTTTTGTGATATTGAACCTTATGGTAAAATTTCATAGATATCCATTCACTTAAACTAAAGTTACTGTGCGAAAACCAATGTGTCTTCGGACGACGACGACGACGTCATACCAATATACGACTGCAAAAAATTTTAAAGGCTTAACTCATCAGATGGATACAAATAGAAAAACATTTAACAAAAATACAGAGTGAATGTGGCAGGGTACTTATACATCCCCACAACAAAAAGACACGAATTACAGATCTGAGAGTACAATTACTGACAGCTAGTTCAAAGCCAATAACAACTAATAAAATAAAGTCATGCATCTATGCTTAAGACTAAAATATATGACCTTTTTTTCAGAGATATACTCTTAACCAAATAAATTCTTTTTTTATTATCCAAATATTATCAACCGTTAGTTATTTCTGTTATTCCATTTGAAGAGTGATAACTGATGACATGGTAATGAGAGCTCAATGTCTAATGTTGAAAGGTATGGCAGGTATTCTATGATCAATTTCAAAAGTAGTTGTGTGAAACCATTTGAATACTAGTATCTTTAAAGTGCATGTGTAACAAGTTCTATGTTTATATCTTTCCTGTACAATGCATTATACATCACTGAAGAACCTAAGACCTATTATCAACAAAATCTATATATACATGTACTGGGTAGTTGGAATTATAAGGTTATAACATTCTTTCTGTATTTAATGGTATTTATACCATGGCATGCTGTCCACTCAAGGAACATAGCATAAATGTCCCAAATACTTTTACTCTGTATTTGTACTATCTAAGCTTCCATTGTGGTTTACACAACAAATTTCGCAATAAAGTGTCCTTGCCTATAATCAAATTCATAAATCACTGATCTTACATATATTTTCTTAAGTGTTTACAAACTGGTAACATTGAATAGGAGACTGAAAATAATTCACTGAACTTACGCATAGCCCATGAATCTAGGAGCAAATCTTTGTATCTGTGTTTTAAAAGAGTTTGGCGAAACAGAAGAATCTTTATCCTTCCACATTCCCTCCATTAATTTGGCATAAGCTGTAAAAAAGTTTGTCAGATAAATAAAACATACACAGAGGAATTTTATCCTTCCATTTAAAAAAATCTTTGAAATGATCAGTTGCAAATAGTACATCTTTAAAAAATTAAACAAGAACCACACTGTTGGCCCATTTAAAATCTGGTCTACTCAAATTAGGTTCCATCAGTTTTGTTGTCTGATTCTTTTTTTTTTTATGGTCTTCATTTAAATATTAGGATGGTCTCTGGCTTCACTTAAATATTAGGACAGTATCAGGCTATATATATGCATGAAAAATATACTCTGATCATGCTAAAAGACATATACATCTTAAAAATGCAATGATTCCTTATATTGTTAATATAAAGATGAGAGGATGTTGTAAACACTTTTGTATATATATAACTCACCTGTTATAAGTTGTCCCTTTAGAGAACTGGTTGAAGTATTTTTATCAAGCAGATAATCTTCTTTCAGACAATATTCCAAAAGAGGTTTAGTATTACTAAGGCACTGAAGAACACTATTCATAAAACATGTGTTTCCAAGGTTACGTAAACCACATTTACCAGAACTGTAGTATTTGGTATTCTAAAAATAGAAAAAAATGTTGTTTTTTTTTAATTTTGTTAGCTTCATTGTCAATTATATATTTACAGTAGGTGTTTGATTCATACACAAATACTGATCTGTATTGGCTGCACAAAGAATTACTTGACTATATCATGTGTTTCCTCCAATTAATGCATTTTACACATAGCTCATGTACATGCAACAAAAGTTTTTTGTAATTGTTTAGAATAATGATAAATACCAAATTATATCTGATTGTTGTAAAACTTGTTGTATAGATGTTTAATATCATTTGTATTTTGGTTGGTACAAGCTATATTTATAAAGATAATTTGCAAAAGTAGTTGACATAATACATTGTTAATATATATATAAATATTAAATAGAAATATGAAATGATAAATTACTATCTCATAATAAATAATAATCATTTTATTCAAAAACTGTTTTATCACTGTTGTATGAGCTATTTGGAAATCATCATCTTCCCCTATACATGTAGGATGATACAGCTTTCATATCCCTACATAATTAACTACAAGAAATGTACACAAAAAGAAAACTTACTAAAGACGAGAGACTATTACTGGAACTTGATTCATGTAATGTATCTTGGTTACTATCCCGACGCCTTCCAGAAGGAGGTCTTCCAATATCTGACTTTGATGAAATACCATTTTCAATTACAGAAGATTTACGCGAGGCTGGTGACCATAAACTGTCAGAAGTATGATTTTCAATGTCATGAGAATCTTTCCTTGAAGCCCTAGACATAGTCCTGTCTGCAATATCTCTTGTCCGTGGTGTTATATAATTATCCTCTCTACCACCATTCAACTTCATGTCTCTGGTGGCATCACTTAAACTGGAAATACTGGATGATCTTCTCCTTAAAGAATTACTGGTTGTAGCTGCAACTCCATAATGTTCATTTTGTGGAGATTTGGCTTTTAGAGATGTTGCATGGTATGCATCAGAGTAAGAACTTGTATAGGAACTTTTGTAATCAGCTTTTAAAGGTCCATTACGTATACTGCTGCTTGTTGGACTTGTTCTTGTTTTAGTTTTAAAATCTGTCAATCTCCTCCCATTGGCATCTAGTGGGCCAGGTCCAGGGGGTAGAGGTCGTGAGTATGAAGGCCTTGACCCAGTACTAGTTATACTTGTTGACAAACCATGAGAGGTTTTTCTTCTATCAAGACTTGCACCCCGAGTTGTGGTAGAAAAACCATAGCTTCCTGTCCTATTCAAATTGCTAGCACGAGAGGGCCTTGTTTCACCTGGCATAGCGTAACTTGATAAGGTATTGTGTATTCGTGAATGAGATGTAAGAGACATTGAATTCAATAAGATTAATCTGTGTTTATCATGATTCAGTAGAAACTTTTACACCATACTGTACTTTTGAACTGTGGGAGAAATCACCAGTGCAGAAATCCTCAGTTACTTCCTACATCTGAAATGGAAAAAAATAAGGATGCTAGTCTGTTACTTCTTTTACTTTCCAAGTGCAAATAAAAGCTTTAAGGTATCATTTTGAGGCATAAAATAGGGTCAATGTCGAAGTCCTCAATACAACTATTTTTTTTTATTTTAGCCTAATGTGATAGTATTCCAACAGCACAATAAAAATAAGAAAGAAAAAAGACAAAACACAATAAAATAAGAAATAAATAAATGGAGAATGAGTCCATGGGACACAGACAGTGCCCCCCGCTTGCATAAAATGTTATAAAGGGACACAACTCAAGAATGGTAAAGTGACGCCACCAAAATTTGAACTTGACCTGAGTTTTGTGGTACAATAAGCATTTTGTATATGTTTCATAACATTTGGTTGAGACAAACTTAAGAGAAGGGAAACAACAAATTCAGAAATTTGTCCATTTGTAAAGGGGCATTACTCTAGAATTGTAAAAGTGACGCCACCCAAATTCAAACTTTATCTGTGTTTTGTAGTAATAAGCATTGTGTATTAGTTTCATATCATTTGGTTGAGGCAAACTAAAGTAAGAGAACGGAAACTAATTTTGGGATGTATAAACATTACACAGACAAGGGTAACACTTAATGCCCCCTCCACTACAACGGGGACATAAAAAGACAGAACACAATAAAATAAGAAAGAAAAAATATCAGGAGGACAACATACATAATCTACAGACAAGATGATGACCACACATCATCGTCACATGTGTATTTAAAAATGTACATGCAGTGACTACCATCAACACATATCAATGGTTTCATTTTCTTAACTAAACAAACATTTTGCATAAATTGGTGTAATAGTCATAGAAAAGTTCTATGAATATTAAGAACGAAAATCTGATGAATCAAGATGATGGCATGAAAATTGAAATGCTGCAAAAATATTGGCTTTTTTTTACTAGGATCATCAACATTTAAAACTTCCTATTGGTAAAGTAAACTGCTTTATCTTTCTGTAGCTATGAATATACTGCACGCAATCAGCTTTATTCTCTACAAAATTTACCAAATATAGTCAAAAGCAAACAGAGGCGTAGTGTAAATATCATTTTACCTACAGATTAGCAAATTTTGTTTTATTTTTAAGAATAAATTAGGCAACACGTGTAAAATTTTAACTTTCAACTGACGAACATAGTAATTTAGAGCCCTGTAAAAACATAAATGTTAAAACAACCTCTGTAAGTTTACGGCTGTCAAATTTTCTTGCCGATGGTCGCCATTTTGATTACGTGATTCTGACGTTGTCATAACAACTAGATTGTTGACATTAAAAATTCTGAAACAAATAAAGAAGACAGAATCAATTTAAATAATAAAAATATTAATGGCTTCGTTTGCTAGTATAAGTTAAATGCAATATTGTAACTTGTCAAATAGTATTCGGCCAATCAAATTTTGTTGTAATCGGTTCATCCTTCCATTCGAACCTCTCGCCCTTGTTCTTTTGTTTATCAACGTAATTGTTACATGCAATACATATTTGCATGATACAAAATGCAGAGTTTGAGTGGTATTAAACATGGAGAACCATATCTTCTGAACGAAATTGTACAAAATGGGAGCGATATGGATGGATTATCAGTGAGGATTAATGGAAGGTAAGAGTAATATTTCCCGCCAAAAAGTTTTCGCGGGAGTTTTAAAATTTTACAGGAAGGTACCAACCGCTTTTGAAACGTTTTGGCCACAGTAACAGTGCGGTCGTATTCGTATTGGTTCACATTATTTTCATCATGTTCTTTTATACTTATAGCTGCTTAATTACGACTGTTATATTATTTAAAAGCTCACTGACAATTTATTTATTTTGCTTTGTATATCCCGGCTTCCATGTTGAACAATTCATCATTGCCCCCTGAACTACTCGTCTAGATTGAACTAAATTTTAAAGGAATAATGTTTGGGGGTGTCTATGAAAGTTATTCATTTCGTTCCGATCGAATGAAAAACGTTGCCTCTAGAGGCAGTTCTTGATAGAGAATTACGTCCTAATGATAAACTTATTCATTTAATCATAATTTTGTACTATTTCACCACGTTTATAATATGTGAAATGTTGTTTTATTATTGAGTATGAAAATATTATTATCGTTTACCTGCACTACACTACAGTACACAGGTTTATATTTGTAACGTATGATTGATTTTATATGTACCTGATTTAATTTGTCTGAGTATTGAAATATCACTTGGCTGGTCAGTTTTATCATAAAAGGCGTACGCGTCTGCAAGCACACTTGGGTGTTCAGTCTGTCACAATATTGACAAGAAACAAAAAAGTAACGAACACCTGATGAAGACAGCCATATAAATTGTACTTAATTTATAATTAATAGTACATATGCTGGTTTCAACCAATAATTGTGGTTAACGATAACCACAAATTACGGGTAAAGTATACCAATATTATAAGTATGATTAAAGTTTACCAATATTAACCATACATTGTTTTAAAACTGACAAACATTGATCGTCACAACTCATTTCAATATGCAACATGCTTATGACAGAAAGTAAGAACTATTTGGTTCTATTTGATTGTTTAAAATGGTCATCTGAAATATGATAAAATCATGATTAGTTCCTTATAGATCTTGAGTTATCCAATAATATTTTCGAGGTATTGGTTCATGCTCGCAACTGATACACTTAATGTACTGAACCCAAAATTGTAACGAAAGGCGAGCGTGTTACAATAGATATAAGATATGATTGTTCAAAAATTTATTATACATTTCTTCTCCTCTGAAGCGAAATATTTTAAAAAGTTTAGTGATTTGTAGATCCTCTACAAAACAGCCCAATTTCTTGCTGATCTATGCTTTTGGGAATCACTTTCCATAATTTTCAGTGAAACACCTCGATCGGTCAAATTGAACCAAACTTTTCAGGAGTAATGTTTGGAAAGGTGTCTATATAATTTCCTCATTTCATTCTGATCAGATTAAAAACATTTTTGCCAGAGGCAATTCTTGATTCTGATTGGCCCAGTTTTCAAATTTCTTCTCTCTGAAACAGCAATGCCAAGTCTCCTCAAATTTTACGAGACTGATGGATTTAGAGACCCTCTACAAGATATCCTCATTTAGTTCTGATTGGATTAAAAAAAGATGGATTCCATTGACAATTCTTGATTCTGGTTGGACGAAAATTTCAATTTCTTCTCTGAAACTACAATGACAAGTCTTTAAAAAATTTATAGGAATGATAATTGTAAGGCCCTTTTCAAAAGTTTCTTATATTGTACTGAGTGGGTGGCATACACGTTGGCTACGGTGGCAAATAGGTTTAGGTTGAATTTTCATTGGAAATCATATTTTCATCATCTCCTCTGAAACTCAATTTCCAATATTAACCATTTTTTTTAGGAATAATGGTCGAAAGGGTGTCTATAAAAAAACTCATTTTGTTCCAATCGAGTTAAAAACATGGCTGCAAGAGGTAATTCTGGATTCTGAAAGATCGAAATTTCAAATTTCTTCTCTGAGAATATAATGCCAAATCTGTTCAAACTGGATAGGAATGATGATTGGGATACGTACCCTCTACAATAAAAAAAAACCCAAATAATGTCTTTCTGATTGGAGGGCTTGCCTGGAGGCTACGATGGCACAAAGTTTTAAATGACAGTGCTAAATAGTCAGCTCAAGCTAGGCTAAATCATCAGTCTGGAATCAAGAAAATACTCCAACTCAAAACACGGAAATAGTACTAGAATGGATATATTCTATTTTGGATTAATGGGAAGTACCAGTGAATAAAATCCTAGAAGAATATATACCAGAAAACTTAAAAAATGGGCAGCAAGAATTATTCTTGAACTATCTTTTAATACTCCATAAGATATCAAAAGTTATCTTGGCTTAGGTTTACTTATCGTTTAATCCACCATAAGGCCATGTATGTAAATAGATGTTAATGTGGATCTGTTGCAGTATATCTATCAGACTAAATCTTCTATGTAACACACAAAAATGGAATGCCACTAAGATCAATTTTAATACAACTCAATTGCTGAATATACCAAATGCAAGAACATACACGTTTAAAATGTCTTTTGCATTATCTGGTCCAACTATACGGAATAATTTCCCGAAGTACTGAGACACATGTCAAAAATACATAATTTCGAATCAAATTGTTTCAAGTTTTTACTCGATAAACCTGGTCTTATTAAATGAATGTATTTAATATTTACTTTTTTTCTGTATAAAGTTATAATGTTATATTGGTTTTGTAGAATTTAGTGTGATACGCTATGAGTGGTCTGTGAGAGCACCAAGGGAGAATAGTATTATTACTCTCTTGAAATTAAGATTATTATTATTGAGGACTTACAATATGATCATCTGGGAAAGTTTTCATGAATGGAAGAACATAGACAGACAAAGTTCAAATGCATTTTTTGTTTCAGAAAATTGCGCTCCTTATTCAGAATGATCGTCAGTAGACACGACGAAACGTGCAATAACGTCTGTAACTAGGACATTGGCTGCAGTTGACACAAGCATGTTTGGCATTCAAAAGTTTTCAGTCCATTTGGTGTAATAATTGTTAATGACGCACATTTTACGTTTGCCCCGATTCTGTTTCGGGAAGTGCTCCAAAAATTCCCATTCCACTCCTTTTCATTGGGAATTCCTACTTCTGCATTTGTATATGAACCCATTGTCGTTTATTCGGATATATTTGTTAAGCACATTCTTCACAACCAGCTATATAAACTACTACGTCATTTTGTAAACAAGGCGATTAGTACAGTACATAAAACTATCTTGCATTATACACAGCTACTTTTGCATGTGTACTTTTTAATTCAAAGTACTTAAAATGTACCTATATATTAATATAGTAGTGATGTAGAACTTCCAAAGTATTGTACTGTTTTAGTTGTTATCCATTCATTTGATGTGTTTGAGCTTTTGATTTCGCCATTTGATTAGGGACTTTCCTTATTGAATTTTCCTCGGAGTTCAGTATTTTTGTGATTTTACTTTTTAGTACCATAATTTTTCCAGTACTGGATTTGTACTGAAAATTTGAAGTACCAGTTTTGTACCTCCGTAGTGAAGTACTATGAAGGTATAATAAATATAAAGTACATGTACTTCTTCTTTACTTTAATCTGAAAGGAAGTTTAACCAATAATTTAAAAGCACTTTTATATTTGTTTTTTGTTTATTTTATTTTTTGCATAGTTTGTTCTTGTGCTGTGCCGTTACACCACTGTCCCGGGTTTGGGGAAGGGTTGACGCCTTCAAACATGTTTAACCCCGCCACATTCTATATATGCCTGTCCCAAGTCAGGAGCCTGCAGTTCAGTGGTAGTCGTTGGTTCATGTCCGTCATATTTTTTTTTTTAATTATTTTGTTATAAATTATGCCGTTAGTTTTCTCAATTAAATTGTTTCATATTTTTCATGTCTGTGCTTTTTATTGCCGACTATACTGAATGGTTTTCTCATTGTTGAAGGCCGTACGGTTGCCTATAATTGCTTACATCCACTTCATTTGAACTTTGATGGATAGTTGTCTCATTGGCAATCATACCACATCTCCTTATTTTTATATGAACTGGTACGAAAAATGTTTGTAACTAAGATATACTACACGTTAAAAGTATAAATCTGTTACTTTCAACTTAAAGTACAAATCCAGGACTGTGAAATTATGGTACTGAAATAGTACTACATTATTAAGGTATGTTTTAGTACTTTGAAAGTACACATGCAAAAGTAGTTGTTTAGCCAGTGTTATCTTGATGCCTAGATAACCTGACATCTTGTTATTATGACACTGCTTAAGTATTCGACGTCTTTCTCTGAGGGGTACTTTCACTCTTCTTTTGCTGTTTGTTGACTTTGCGAAAATTGCAAAGTCCCCTATCCTGAATCTTCGGGTCATCCAACTGTGACCATGAACTTTTAACAACATAATTGACCCCAGAAGCCTTTCAAGTTAGGCTTGTGTCAATCTTGGACCCGCTGTCTAACTTTTTTGTACGTTTTTGAAATATTCTTGAAGCTGTTTGAGCGTAATTTCTATTTTGTCTTCCATGCCACCAATCATCTTCATCATACTTTGATGTCACGGTATGGACAAGTTGTGTCTTCCAATTCGGGCTATAACAAAACTGCCTGCAAGCTATTCTACTTGAACCATCTGTGTTTCGATGCGGACTTCCTGGTCTGTGTTTTATTTTCATATCATAAGTACTTTAGACCTCACGC